CTATGAGGTTAATTGTTCATGTGCTGGTGTGAATGTCATTGATGTAAAAATGACTGAGCAGGAAATAATACCAGAGGAACTGCTAAGCCCAAGTGTGAAAGCCCTGTGTGTCGTAGAGAGAGAAACAGAAAGTGAGAAACATGGGCCTGTATGTTGAAGACTGGATGTGTGTGTGTGTGTGTGTGTGTGTGTGTGTGTGTGTGTGTGTGTGTGTGTGTGCGTGTGTGTGTGTGTTTGTGTGTGGTAAAATAAAGAAGAAGTAGAGACATGAAGAATGGCAGTAATGCAAACCAGGTTTCGAATTAGGTGGAAGGCTTGGGATGGGACTCGTTTTTTAATGAAAGACTTTACATTGTGTTTCTGTGCACGTGTGGCACAATCCTATTCAGCCCACAAGATCATTTCAGTTTTCTGTTAACATTAGCCCATTTTGCCATGACCTGCACTACCGTTCCCAGCATGCACTGCAGCGTAACGTGTGCTCCCACCCCCTCCCCAACAACGATCTATAGGACAGAATCACAAAAAAACAAAACAAAAAAGATCCTAGGTGTCTAGTTCTAGTTTAACAGTTATCTACAGCTAGTGTAGTCTGTTGTTTTATCTAAAACATTTTTTCATTTAAAATTATTTTGGAGGTGTTCATGTGTTCAGTGCCTGTATTTTGCTGTTGTAGTTTTGACATATTTTGGATAATCAGTGGCCAGTTGGAGTCATGGCAAAATGTTAAGTGAAAATAAAATAACACAGCTGGCCCACGTATTAGTTGAGATTTTTAATATGGCCCTTTTAGTGGTAGAGTCTGACACCCCTGGTCTACAAAGTCTCTTGTGCTGTAGGTTATTGCACACAGAACACTTCACATCTCTTATTATACAGTAGCATCAAAATCTGTACTAAGCACATTAAAAGTCACTTTCACTCGTATCAGCTCTGTAGCTTAATATGACATGATTTATAGAGGAACATTTCCCTACAGTGAATTTTTAAGCAACCAGGTGTTTAGAACCAAACAAAAATATTTATTAGTATTTACCATATTGGTATTAATAATAGTGGTGGCACATTTTCATGGTACCACTTATATCAGTAAATCTAATATTTTGTCATGTTCCATAATCAAATATTTAGTGCTGTAGTGCTCGACTTGAGACCATAAATTAGCAGTCTCAGCCTCATCTCAGTCTTTGGACTTGGTCTCAGGGTAAGGTAGACTCAGAAATTGTTGTTGAGACCAGCTGAGTTCAGTGCCTTCCATCTGAGGTAACTGGAAGCTGAGTTGTTATTGAATATCAGCAAAACCAGGATAAACAGAATAAAACAGGGGGCTTTTGCAACTTGTGGCCCACATAAACGACCACAACAGCCTCCGTGGATTTAACCAATCAGATCGTCTGTCTTCTAACTTGATTTGGCAGCTACCGAATGCTGGATATCAGGCTGAAGAGAGGAAAGTTGAGCAGTTCTGTCTCAATTCAACAGGTAGATACATATTCAGTGTGTTTAGTCTCTGAGCGATTGTGTAAATTATTAGGTTTCAAAGATTCATTTGAAAAGATGGGCAAACTAGTTTGCAGTTTGTCAAAATAATCAATGAGTGCAATATAAATGTAATGTTTTATTTTTACAAATAATCACCAATATTGTTCATGTTTAAAATTACGAATGTAATGGTTAAATGTATATTGTGACACAAGCAAAAAAGTACTGGCTGAGGCCACTGGGCCACAGCCCACAGAAAACCACTGTTGTATATGTCAAAATAAAATAATAAGATGAAACTTATTAATACAATAATAACTTCCGATCTGATGTTTGAACTCTGGAATCAATGAACATCAGCTTATCAAATCTGAGGGCTAGAGTAAAAAAACGTTTTTATTTAATTTTTCATTAATATTGTGCTGTAACCCGAAATGGCCATTGTTTATTCAACATATGCAAAAACTTTAACAGTAAAATACAGACACTTGTAGTAGACCATGAAATATTACATGGGCATTTAAAATATTCAAAATTTAAATATCCCCAGGTGCTCAGTCTTTTAAACCTACCTATTTACTTGAGCTATTTGCTGCAAGCTCATTAAGACCTGGGCTCAATTTTTGAGCTGCTGAGCTAATGTTAAGTGTTCATATTGCTTGAACTGAAGCTGATTTGCATTTTGGTGATATAAGTGGTGTGGAATTGAGCAGAATTGTATAGAATTGATTGATCTGGCCCGCGGACGATATGTTTGACACATGGGACATACAGCTTTGGCAGGATCTGAAAATAAAATAAGATGCAGAACTTCAAAAGCCGTTGTATGTCAGCCTTTCTAGACTTTACAGTACATTTAAAAATCCACCCATGAAGCTGTAGGACTGTTTTGTGCTGTTAGCTGTGCCGGTTATGTAGGCTCTGGTTGTTTCAATCATTATGCTAGTGTGAGCAACCAGAGTGTAACTGGAATTAGAAAATATGAACAAGAAGCTGGCAAAAAAGAAGCTGTCTTCAGCTGTTGAAAGAGTTGAAGGCATGAAAAGGGATTAAAAGGGAACAGTTGCTGTTTCACAGAATCAGTAAGTCGGTATTGTTTTGTCCCCTTTGCTAATGTTTGTGATTAGGTTTGCAGTAGCAATTGTAGTGACAGCTTGCAAACCCACAACCTAGCTAACTAATGTTAGTTACATTATTTCTTGTGTTGTTCATTTTAACATTATATCATGGCATTTGTCCGTACAACATGAAGGGCATTATGGCCACGATTATCTAAAAAAAAAATTGCCGTAGCAGTGCGCATCAATGAATTTGGGGGGAAGAGCTTCTGAAGATGCAGTGAAGGGAGGGGTGTGTTTGTTTTGCTGTAGAGTGTAGCTTTTGTGCCTACAAGGCATCCAGCCTTGCCCTTCGTTGGGATCGGCTGTTGGCCGATCGTGCTGCAAAGTTTCGGTGATCAGTGTCTGCCCCAAAAACACTGATCGGGATATCTCTAGTTCTATATAGAACCATGACCACTTTTGATGATTTTTAATTTACCTTTTTGATTTCTAAAATGCTTCAATTTAAATAACAAATGCTTTTCCTCAATACCACTACAGGAATATTTTTCCATGCTTGTGAACACCTCCAAAGTTCACTCTTAATCACACCTCCAAAGTTCACTCTTAAAAGTAATTGCTGCATGCATGATGTCGTTTGTTTTGTCTCCAGTCATTGGTTGGCTCCATTCAGTGCTAGTTAAAAAAAAGCTGGCAGCTGCAGCAGAGCCACCTCGGTTGTGAAAGAGGTTCCTAAACGTTTCCAAAGACGCAAGACATCAAAAGTATGGAAGTACTATAAATTATCACAAAACAAAAAGGTGTTTTGTACAATGTTCAAAGTTTGATGGCAGACCACAGCAGCACCAGAGCAATGCACAAGCACCTGAAAAGAAAACACACAGGCGCTGTTCTGGGTGATGGACTGCCAGAAAAGGCAAAACCTCTGTAAGTCTATTCATGTTTATTAAATTACCATCAGTGGGGAGGGCTCTTTAAAATTTGTTCTTATAGCTGCTGAATACACTCATTATTAAAGCCATAAAGTCATCTGCTTGCTACCTTAGAATTTCAATCAAAGATGTTTTTAAGATAATGTTATATGTTTGATTTTGTGGAGGAAGACAAATTGTTCAGATTAATTGACTAATTGGTAAAGTAGTTGACAGATTAATCAATAGAAAAATAGTCGTTAGTGGCAGCCGTACAATGTTACGTGTGGACAACTCCTGCTACCAATTTAGTGCTGTTATGCCATGTGAGCATTTGAGCCAAAGATAACAGGGAATGTTTGACTTTGAATTACAATATGTATCAAGATCGGTCTAGGTGTGTATCATGCTTTTAAATGAAGATTTCAGTGCAAAAGAGGTTAAGGACAGTCTGTTTGTAGCTTTGCATTAACACTGTAGTGCATACATACCTCTAGTGTAGGGAACAAGGCATAGCCCCCTTTCGTAAGGCCACTTCTTGTAATACATTAGACCAGGGGGTTATGTTTATATATTTATGTATATATATATATATATATATGCACAAGCAGTGTACACATCTTTACTTCAAATTAAAAATGTAAACGATGTTTTGAGCACCTAATGTTTGTGAACAGTTCAGCAGGAAGCAGTGCAAGTGCATTACAACATGTTACAATATACCTCATAGATGGGTTTGTAACAGTCTAAGGGGGGTGGTTGTAAAAGTAATAGAAAAGGCTGTTAAAACGATGCATGCACAGTTACTTCAGTACAGTACTATGTTGTTTGAATCAGTGATCTTATCAATTAAAATACATTAAAATGTATTCATCAGAATAAGTAAAATTCGTGAAGAAAGGTTGTGCCAAACATGGGCAAATTTATTTTGGATCACAACGTAGAAGAGCTAATATCGGCATGATAAAACTGGAATAGATTTTATTTACATGGTATCTGTAGTACAGTATTATAATAGTACTAAGTTTTGAAGTCTCAGCTCAAAGTTACATGCAAGCCTCACTGAGCCGCTGTGACGTGAGTGAGACTCTTCAGCAATACTTGCAAGCTAGCAGCAAGCGTGACTTCTTATATGCTCCAATGAAAGTTTATACTGGTCACAACAGGCTTCAATTTAATGTGAAAGGTTATCAGTAGACCTACAGAGACTCAGGTTAAAACCACCTGTGATTGTTTTAAAAAGTTTCTAAAGTGTGTTTATGTAACTGTATTTTGTGTTGAACACACCCCACCTCCAGCCTGTAGCACATTCAGCCAATGGAAAATCATAGTGGTACAGGATCTGCCCCTTCAGTTTCCATGGTAGCAAAAGTCTATCAATGTGCAGTCTCTTTGTAAGGTACGATAAAAATAGCAGAAATGCTATTTTTTTTTTTTTTAAAAGTGTCAGCTACTCTAAGTAGTCAATATCACTTCGTTTTTAAAAGCAATTCAAACAACTAACAATAAAAAATATTAAATGATTAATCACCTATATTTTCTGTTAAATAAGCATCTGTTTAACATCTGTTGGTTCTCATTTAGAATTATGATTTGTGTCAAAATAACACTCAGGTCCTGTATCCTCTAAATTTCAGCTCAACAGCTTCTAAAGTATCTAATTATGCCTTTATCCCAAGATTATCAGTGAAAATCTAAAGGTGTTAAGTTGAAATATTCAAGTGGAAGTTTGTCAGTTTGAATTCACACATCCAGTTTTCTGTCCCTGAGCAGGAAAGATCATTCCATGTTTGTTGACCGTCATTGTCTGCATGGGTGAAAACAGCACAGTCCTCATCACCACCACCACCACCATTGTTGGGTTCTCTTGGCCTCCAGAATCTGACAATCAGACAAAGCATTAATCTGTAATCAAGATAATGCGCAGAAGTATTAAAAAGTATGTATAATATCGACTGCAACTACTTTTTTTTATCTTGACATACTTGTCAGTCAGAGGTTGGCCGTCCACCCACTTCCATGTGTTTTCTGTCTCTTTATCAGTCAGACCAATCCAGAAACTCTTCTCTTTCTTTTGGTCAATGAGGAACATCTGAAAAAAAAACATTAATAATCAATAATAATCAGTAAATAAAATTACAAATCTCCCTTCACCTGTTCCTCTCTGCTGTTTATGATCACCAGATCTGCTCCTCTCTCTCTGCAGTCCTGTCTGCTCTCACTCCAGCTCTTCTGCTCGGTAGAGAAAAAGCAAAAACTGCTTCCAAAAGTCTTCAATTCTTTAAACCAGCTTTTCTCTACAACAGAGCCTTGAGAACAAACATATATTAGAAGCATGAAGGAATATTTTTGCCTATTAATTGTGAGGATGATGTTTCACTCACCAATCAGCTTCACTAAATGATCATATTTGGTCTGTAAGATGTGATCGTCCTCTGTCAGATTCTGGTAGCTGCTCTTTAGCTGGTCTCTTTCTTCAGTCAGGTTTCTGATACTGGATAAGAGGGTCTCTCTCCCTGCAGTGAAATTTACACTCAAAGAAATGGTTTGGTCCTTAACTTTATTCATATTAATGTCTACATTCAGGAAGAATTACAACCCCAATTCCAAAAAAGTTGGGACGCTGTGTAAAATGTAAATAAATGTAAATAAAAACAGAATGCAATGATCTGCAAATCTCACAGACCCATATTTTATTCACAGCAGAACATAGAATCAGATGTTGAAAGTGAGACATTTTACCATTTCATGAAAATCAAAAAGTAATTTAGAACTGGCAACAACACATCTCAAAATTGTTGAGACGGGGCAACCAAAGGCTGGAAAAGTAAGTGGTACTAATAAAATTTGCAACTAACTCACATGACTGGATATAAAAAAGTATTTTAGAGAGGCAGAGTCTCTTAAAGGCAAAGATGGGCAGAGGTTCACCAATCTGCGAAAAACTGCATCTAAAAATTCTGGAAAAACTTCAGAAATGTTCCTCAACATAAAATTGCGAAGACTTTGGAAATCCCACCATCTACAGTACATAGTATCATCAAAAGATTCAGAGAATCTGGAGAAATCCCTGTACACTATTGGGTGCTTGTGATCTTCTGGCACAGGAACAATTCCAGAAATCACTGTCTGTGAACACAGTTTGCTGTGCAAGCCACAAATGCCAGTTAAAGCTGTATCTTCTCTGGGCCAAAGCTCATTTAAAATAGACTGAGGCAAAATGGAAACCTGTTCTGTCAGAAGAATCAAAATTTGAAATTCGTAATGGAAACCATGGACGCCGTGTCTTGCGGACTCAAGAGGAGCGAGACCATCCAGCTTGTTATCAGTGCGCAGTTCAAAAGCCTGCATCTCTAATAGTATGGGGCTGCGTTAGTGCCTATGGTGTGAACAGCATACACACCTGGAAAGGCACTATCAGTGCCACGTGGAGGTGCTAATCTGGCCTGCCTGCAGTCCAGACCTTCCACTAATAGAAAATATTTGGCGCATCTTGAAATGAAAAATCCATCAAAGAAGACCCAGGACTGTTGAGCAAGAATGGGCCAACATTCCCCTCCCAAAGCTCCAGCAATTGGTCTCCTCACCTCCCAGACATTTACAGACGGTTGTTAAAAGAAGAGGGGATGCTACACAAAGGTAGACATGATCCCGTCCCAACTTTTTTGAGATGCGTTGCTGCCATCAAGTCTAAATGAGTTAATGTTTTTCATGAAATGGTAAAATGTCTCAGTTTCAACATCTGATATGTGTTCTATGTTCTATTGTGAATAAAATATGTATCTATGAGATTTGCAAATCATTGCATTCTGTTTTTATTTACATTTAGTTACACACAAGTTACAGAAGTCCCAACTTTTTTGGAATAGGGGTTGTACATTTATTATAGCATATGTATTCTGTATATCTGTATTTGAAAGAGGAAATATTTGTGTTCAAGACTAAAACACTCACAGCACATGTACAGCACTGTGCTGGTGGTCAGCAGGAGAACACACAGCAGCCCCACACACACCACAGCCAGTCTGAAGCTTCTACTTCCTCTTTTAACAACTGATAAAGAAAACATTCACTTATTTATTCAGTTCTCATTGTGAGCACACTTAGAAATGATGCTGTCGTCTCTGTTTGAGTTACTCTACCTGTACTCTTCTGTGTCTTCGTCTCTGTCTGTGTGTTGGTGTCCTGTGTTTCTATGCTGGTATTCTGAGCTCCAACAATATCTTTACTGAAATAAATGACCACTGTCATCTCCTCTGAGTCCATCTCACTCAGCTTAAAGCTGCCCACACCAGCATACATTCCCTCCACCATTCTCACTGTGACATACCGTATATAAACTACAACCTTCTTCACTACACAGACTGCAGTGTCTGGAGTAGACAAATGCAGAAGTGCCAGGACAGGAAGAAGAAGAATCCAGAATGACGTTTGAGGTTTGAAAACCAAAGCAAGGCCAACAAAGGCCTACATGCTAATTCTGCTGCATACAACAGCTTAAAGATCACTTGAAACAGATGTTCAGCTTAAACTGAAAAATTATGCAGAAACTATGTGAGAGGCTCTCGGGGGTCTTCGGTTTCCCCCTTGCTGTCTGTTCAATAAAAGAGCACTTGTCCACATGAGCAGTGACTCTGGCACCGTGACAAAGAATCCATTGAAAGAGAAGCCATGAAAGTGGTGCAGCAAAGCAACAGGTGTGCTGTGCTGCAGAAAGAGGGACACACCATATGTTGTTTGTGCTTAATTGTGCTCTGTGTGGGTTGTGTAGTGTCGTAGCATTCACCATGAAGTGAAGCTGTATGGCTGTTGGTGAGCCATCCCACTATGCCCTCTCATTCTGCCCTGTTGGGTGGTGGTTTCCTCTTGCTGCCTGTTCAATGAAAGAGCACTTGCCTGCATGCGCAATGTCTTCTGTGTCCCACTTCGCTGCACAGAGGGAGACCCTCTTGTCCAGTATTAAAAAACAGATCAAAGAAGGAGACATGCTGCATTACCATTGACATGCCAGATTTCTGTTTTATTATTTGCCTCATGTCTAACACACACACACACACAGATTATAACTTAAAACTGCAATATTTTTACATGCAGTAGGCTTTGAATATTAAAAGTGACTTTAAACCATCATCTCAATTTAGCTTGTGCTACGTAGTTTAACTGATCAGGGAGTAAATGTTGGGATGGAGCAGCCTTTGACTCAGATTTCAAACTTGTCAAGAAAACTATTTATATAAGTGAAAACCATCTATGGCTGTTTTAAAAAGTTTCTACAGTGTGTTTATGAAACTAACTATATCTTGTGTTGGACACACCCCACATCCAGCCTACAGCACATTCAGCCAATGGAAAATCATGGTGGTACAGGCTCCACCCCTTCATTCTCCATGGTAACAGAGGTCCATCAATGCACAGCATGTTTGTAAGATACAGTAAAAACAGCAGAAACTCTATAACTGATAATAAAAGTGTCTGTGCAATTCATAATTTCTTAAAATCTTAATGGATACATTTAAATATCCTGTCTACTTCATGTAAACATCAGCAAATATCATTTGATTTTTTTTTTAAAGCAATATCACAACTAACAATAAAAAAATAGATAATTGCAATATATTTTATTGTCAAAAACAAAAAACATCTGTAACATCTGTTGGTTCTCATTTAGAATTTGTTGGAATTATATTTGTGTCAAAGTAACATGCTCAAGTCCTGTATTCTCTAAATTTCAGTTCAACAGCTTCTAATGCCTTTATCCCAAGATTAGCAGTGAAAAAATAACAGTGTTTAGTTGAAGTATTGGTGGAAGTTCGTCAGATTGAATTCACACATCCAGTTTTCTTTCCCTGAACAGGAAAGATCATTCCATGTTTGCTGACCGACTGCAGTGGTGAAAATAGCACAGTCCTCCTCACCACCACCATTGTTGGGTTCACCCTTCCTCCAGAATCTGACAATCAGACACAGCATTAATCTGTAATCATCACATGTTTACAAAACAAGAATTCAAATTAAAACAGTTCACAGCAGCTACTGAGGGTCTTTACTCTATACAGTGTCAGTTCTGTACCAGAACACCTTTATAAACTCTCAGAGAAAATGGTAGTTTTACTTTAAATATAAATGGAATACAATGAGATAATGCATATAAAAGGGAACAATTATGTGTTACATTGATTTTAGCTACTGTTTTGTATCTTGACATACTTGTCAGTCAGCGGTTGGCCGTCCACCCACTTCCATGTATTTTCTGTCACTTCATCAGTCAGACCAATCCAGAAATTTCTCTCTTTCTTTTGGTCAATGAGGAACATCTGGAAAAAAAAACAATATTAATGAATAATAATCAACAGTAATCAATACATAAAATTACAAGCCCCCCAACCCACCTGTTCCTCTTTGCTATTTATGATCACCAGATCTGCTCCTCCCTCTGTGCAGTCCTGTCTGCTCTCACTCCAGCTCTTCTTCTCAGTGAAGAAAAAGTAAAAGCTGCTTCCAAAAGTCTTCAGTTCTTTAAACCAGCTTTTCCCTACAACAGAGCAATGAGAACAAACATATATTAGAAGCATGAAGGAATATTTTTGCCTATTAATTGTGAGGATGATGTTTCACTCACCAGTCAGCTTCACTAAATGAGCATATTTGGTCTGTAAGATGTGATTGTCCTCTGTCAGATTCTGGTAGCTGCTCTTTAGCTGGTCTCTTTCTTCAGTCAGGTTTCTGATACTGGATAAGAGAGTTTCTCTCCCTGCAGTGAAATTTGCAATGATGGTTTGGTCCCTGATATCTACATTAAGAAAGTATTACAGTAGATGCATTCTGTATATCTGTATTTGGAAGATGAAATATTTGTGTTTAAGACTGAAACACTCACAGTACATGTACAGCACTATGTTGGTGGTCAGCAGGAGAACACACAGCAGCCCCACACACACCACAGCCAGTCTGGAACATCTGATTCCTGTTCTGACGTCTGATAAAGAGTGAACTGACTTAGAAGAAGTTTTCATTGTAAACACACTGAGAGTTTGTGCACTGAGAGTTACTCTACCTGTCTGCTGAGTTGTTGTCTCCCTCTGTATGTTGGTCTCCTGAGCTCTAACAGCGTCTGCACTCATATAAATCTCCACCGTCTTCTCCACTCTCTCTCCTCTGTCTGCTTCACTCAGCTCAACGCTGCTCACGTTATTATAGATTGCCTCTTCCATTCTCTCTCTCTCTCTGTGTTTTCCTCTAAACCTCCTACTAAATCTTCAGTACAGAATCTGCAGTGTACACCAATGAAGAAGTAGCTGGACAGGAAACAACGTCAGAGGAGCTTTTGACAACATAATTGTGAAAGTAGGCCTAAAATATCTCCTCTTTCTGCTGCACATATCAGTTTAAAGTTGTATCGTGTTGGGTAATTTATCACAGCATAACTAAGATTATAATTTAGAAATGAAAACATTGAGTCATAATTCCTGTAATATAAAATTATGAAAAGAGAAGAGAAGAACACACATTGAGTTTCAGTAGCAAAATAGTTCATAAAATGTAATAAAGTTTTCAGGATTACAGAAACATGAAAAAGGAAACAATTAAAAGTATGGATAAAAATGGAAAACAATAATCTCAACAAACAATACATTCATACAAACACATAACCTCATACGTAGAAGCTTAACTACGACAAGTTTAAAGACTTTCAGCAGGATAAAACTCCAAGAGGAGAGAGAGAAAGTGGTGGGGGTGAGATCACCTGCAGGTGTCCTCCCTGTCTAACCCAGACTTGGTCAGAGTAGTTATAGTTTTATGCCATTATATGTGAATTAGAGAGTGTAAATATACAATTATCATTCCAAATCAAAACTATTAAAATGCAGACTTAATTGATTTCAGAAACCTGACTAAACACAGTTTCATTGGTAAGATTCAGTCAACAAAGATAGTGTCCGTCGTGCCCGTTTTAATGACATCAGTAAAAGTTGCTCTCAGTCAGGCTCACGGCCTTGAAGGTTCCAGGATGGGGAGGAATGAGCAGGGCAGAAATTTCACAAACTGACTTGTGACAGAGGTGGTATCCTGTGACAGTGCCATGTCTAAAGTCACTGAGCTCATCAGTACGACCCATTCTACTGCCAGTGTTTGTCCATGGAGATTGCAAGGCTATGTGTTTGACTGTATACACCTGTTAGCAATGGATGTGGCTGAAACACCTGTAGTCAGTAGGTCGGAGAGTTAGTGTCTACATACTTTTGGCCATACAGTGTATAACAGATCCTAATGCTTCAACTAATCTTGCAAGGGATCAAGTCTATGTTTTGTCATGTGGTATACTTATATTAGCATCTGTATATCATTGTAACTAAGAGGATGTGCCTCAGTATCTAGCGTGCTACCTCAGTTCGTACTGCATACATATTGTCGCTATCAAAAAAACAGACCATTAGAAATGCTCTAGAATGTTAGAAGAGTGGAGAGCTTAACAGGCAACAAGCTTCAGCTCAAAGAAGATAAATACTGGTTAATTTTATACAGTTTCCACATTGACTATGTATAATGACTGTGGGCACTCCCTTCATTTCATCTCTTCCACATGCCAACCCTCCCCCTCACAGCCTGTGTCCAGTTAGACTGAGGCGAGCAGCAGTGAGCAGTTTCTGCTCCTGCCATGTTGAACGTTATAAACTTTAACTGTGACGTGACGCACATGCGCAGAATGTACTTAAACTTTCAGATTTGGAATGTAGTCAGATAGAGGCGTTTACATGGTTATTATTCTTATATTTAACAAATTATTTACCGGATTACCCACCTTGTTCAATTGGATATAAATTGTATTTCAAATGGCCTCAATCAGACTAGTCTATTCTGATTGAGGTGTATACATGGACGTCTAGCTATTATAGTCAGATTATTGACAGATTATCAGGCTGCATGTAACCGTTGCTATTGTAAAAAAAACATTTGAGGCAAAGAGAGAACAAGTATGTTCTGTGTGTTGGCCTTTCTTGACATACATCAACATAATAACAAAATAAGAGCAGATCAGTTAAGTCTAGTTTTAACCAAGAACTTGTTTGGAACATGATAAAAGTGGATATAGATGTCTTTTAGCTACTGCACACATCAATCTAGAACCATCAATCTGTATCTATTTCTAAATGTCTATCCGTATCTGTTCGTCACTTCTTTTTTTAGTAATTAAGAAGACTATATGACAATATGTGAAATTCAGCTTCATAGCTAACTTGCCAGCACAAATTAAGATAATGGTTATTCTGAGGTCGGTGAGCCATTATTGATCACATGCCTATGTAATTAAACAGGGAAACAATTAAGCAGATTTTTTAAAGATTTTAAATTGAGAAGAAATTTGATTTGTTTGCTGTGAGTGCTGTCATTATATTATGGTCAGTCAAATCGTTGTACTCTAAGCCAAGCTCTACCTTCTTTTCCTCAGGCCTACAATCACTGCTTAGCAGCCATTGCTTTTTGCCATTGCCTCAAGCCTTCGGTTTGTTATCAGTGCTGGTCTTGTTTGTAACATGTAGCATGAGGATAGTGAGGTCCTTAGTAGTTTTGGAAGAGTTTTATAATATTTAATGTGGAAACAGCAACAGGACTATGCAGAAGTGACGGGTTTTCAGTTGACATGATTAGCAATGAGTGTTCTGGCTCTTCACCGTGAGTCAGATCAATTTGCTCAGTTCACAAATAAGATTATCATTGTCATGTATTTATTCCTAAAATTTGCCAAGTTAGCAATATTATGTGACATTGCCTGCCTGCATTAGGCAACAGCTGCCAACCCTTATGCACTGGTTATGAGACTTACACAATTCAGTCTAATCTCATGCTCTCACACCACACTGGACATTTCCCACACAATTTTTGTGAATGACCTACTGACTTATGTGGACCTCGTAAAGTTTCCCACTACTGTTTAGCTTTAGGGAAAGCACACTAGCTGGTCCACTCACTGCCTGTCCTTGTGTAGGTCAGTGGGGACAGGACTGGTATCCATATCAACAGTAAACCAACAAGAGTTCAGCAGAACTACAGCTCACTCATGCGATACACGAAGTGAAGACACACAAATGTGTGATGTCAGTGACCTAAACATGATCACTAATAAGAGCAACGTACATGATTACAGTTAATAGTACAGTTTATGCTGCAAAATGAATGCAGTTCAGATCTTACAAGTTAAACAGTAAGCAGGCTGTTCTTACCCATTTTCACTGTGTACCACTTAGCTTTGAAATCCCTGCTTAATAAGTGCAAAGGCAGGCAGATGCCCAAGGCCCTGAAGAGCCAAGAGCCCTATGAAAATACAAATTTGATATACTGTAAATGTTGATTTTAAACTGTATATGTGTTGAGTAACCTGTTCCAAAACATATATGCATTTTAAAAATAGCCATTATTTGCAGTGATTTCAATGCAGCCTCACCCCCAATGAGATTAATAGGCTATTCCATGAGATTAATGTTGTTATGTGATGGCACAGCTGTGTAAAGACAAAGAAGTGAAGGAGGCAATGAAGTGAAAATCTCCATTTTTGAGAGGAGGTTCTTCGGTGTGATTTTGTGAGTGTTAAGAGAGAAAATCAAAGTTTTACAAGTGCAGTTAAGAAACGCAAAAAGAGGCAGAAAAGCAAGGAGTTTGTCAGTACACTCACAGAGCTAACTGTGTCAGTCGGAACAGAGTGCTGCACAGAAACAGCACATTGTGCATAATGCTAGTATACCAACTCCAGTTTTGGGGTAATAACTCAAAAAATAGGTTAGTAAGTAAATTAAGTTACTAATTACTTTTCTCTAAATGTAGTGGGATTACATTAATTATGTTTAAAATCTCTTTACTCAGTCTGTTACTCTGTACCATGGCAGATAATTGTGATTGTTTCGAGTATATTATTTAAGACAAGTGAAAGATTTAAGATTAGATTTAACATTATTTCACTTGACAAAATATAATTATGCTGTAGTGTTGGTTGTTTTTATGTAAACCCAGCTTTCTGGTTGATTGCTGCCATAGAGCAGAAGTGTTGAAATAGGTGGGGTAATGACTGTACAACTGCCAGGAATAAGCTGTAGCCTGGTGTTGACATTGCAGGACATTAGCACATTTGGAAATTGTGTCTACCAAGTGGGCCTACGCTCTTTTTTACAGGCACTTGTCTGCAACAGACAATAAAGAAACTCTAGCTAACCAAACAGGGATAGCATGTAAATGTCAATATCATGTCATGAGCTGCTGCTGACAGACTTAATAAGCTGATGATTTCTGTTTTACACTTGTTTTAATCAACAATTATAAAAAAAAGAACAATTCATCAAAACCCAAGGAGATTTTTTTTCACCTGATCCCCATAAAGTAGGGGGAAGAAACAAGCCCCTCAGAGCTTCTGTACTACATGGCTAAATGTGAGATGATTTAGGGGTTCATAAACTGGTGTTTATTCCTAAACATTTGTTCAAATGTATAATCATATATATGCCTGTAATTTCTCAAACAAATGCACATATTTGAAAATGCAGTTCTACAGCTTGCAAAAAGGCTGCTCACATTTCCTTTTGAAGTTAAATTTATGCCTCAGTAAACAGAGGAAATGTTTGTTGTTGTTGGACAGTCTTCTTTTACATAGTTTTAGGAAGCAAATGATAATGAACCCGTTTCAAATGATGCTTGTTAAAAAAAACAGTTTCAGGACCTCGGAGATTTAAGAAGATCTGTGAACATAGAGGACATTTTGGCCTGGTGAATCATTTCATAACACTGTTTTAAGCCTTTCAGGCTAATGAAATTGTTCTTTAACAGTTTCAGAACCTGTATGTTGACAGAGTACGACATAGAAACACAGAACGAGCTATTGTGGATTATAGGAAATATAAAACATTGCCCACTAAATCAGACACATACTTGTGCTTCTGCACATGTGAACATTAAGCTTTCTCAACACACGCACACATCTAGCACACTCCTATCTGCAATAATAGACTTCAAAGATGGTATTAGATTGGCTGCAGGTAACGCGTTTACCACAAAGGGGCAACATTGCTGTGTGAATATATAGGTCTGTGTACCTGCCTTGTGATGGACTGGCGACCTGTCCAGAGAGTTTCCTGCCATTCACCCAGTGAGCGCTGGGAGAGGCTCCAGCACCCCCACGACCCAGGAAGCTTAGATAATGTGTGTGTGTGTGTGTGTGGTGTGTGTGTGTGTGTGTGTGTGTGTGTGAGTGTGTATACGTGCTTTTTGTGATCATTCTACTATAGGAGCAGTCATGAAATTCAACCATACCAACCATTTCCTGTTGCAGTGGACCATTGCAATATTCAGTAGACACAGAGAAAAGCTTAGAGTTATTGCCTGTTACACTTCTAAAATGAACCAACCCTTAGCAGGAAAAAAGGCACTTTGATACACAATACTGGTGTGTTTAAAGAGTATATACAGTCATGTCCATAAGTATTTGGACAGTAACACAATTTTTGTGATTTTGCCTGTGGATGCTACCACATTGGTTTTGAAATGAAGATGTAATTGAAGTGTAGACTTTCAGCTTTAATTCAAGTTGTTTAACAAAAATATTGCATTAACTGTTTAGGAATTACAGCAATTTTTAACAGTAAGCCTTTCAGATTTGCAGCTGTTTGCACTAACTAGCCTAGAAGTGTCCTCTAGGCCAATGTTTGTCAACCCTGTTCCTCATGGTGTTTTTCCTGCTGTAGGCTGTCAAAAGCAGAGCTAAGAAAGACTAATTTAAACGGCTGCAAAACCCATCGAGTGGACACTGCTAAGCTAGTTAAATCTAGCAGCTACCATCTCAAGCTTTATTCAACAGCTTTATTCAACAGCTAAATTTACCTATTGTACTTTAATTTCTAAAATATTTATTTTACACAGGACCCTGAGTGTGTGTTACTTTAATAAATATAACAAATATAGCTTATGATGTTGGACGTGCTAGCACAGTCCTCTCTACGCTCAGTCTGAAACGTTCCGCCATGTTCATGTCAGGTCACGGCTCTCAAGAGTGGGTGGGGCTATATTTTTAGAAGACCTGTCACTCCAAGTCAGTTGACCAGTAGAGTGCAGGTGAACGTCTTCTTCTAACACCCGCCCCCTTTGAAAATGTGCTATATTTGAGAAGCAGAAGAAAGATTTCAGGAGATAAATGTATCAGCAAAATCACAGAATAGAAAAAAATGAAAGCAAAGACTGACAAATTGAGTAGTAATCTTTATGAAAAAATTAATTTAACTGTCATTATTTGTATTTGCAACATATTTTGGACACTTTGATACTTAACGTGTTGATTGTGGATTTTATTATTTTATTTGAAACTTCTGGCGTAAAATGAACTCTATAGACAGAGGGACCTCAGTGATCCTCTCAGCTGTCTTCACAATTCGCCTTAGCATCCTGTGGTCTGAGACAGTGCAGCACCCACAGCAGACAGTGAGACAGCTGATCTGTTGTTGCCCAACAGCCCCCCATAAAGTAGTGAATGTATTTTATGCATTTGAGTCGGAGAGATCATCTAGCTAAAATAATACAAAACTGTATTTAATAATTGTGTTTTGCGTCAGTGTACCAGACTTTTTAGTCACTGTTAAGGCCTCAGCGTACTTCTTGTGAAACGAAATTCTCAAGAGTTGCGCGAAACCGAAAGTGCCCTTCGCAAACTGAAAAGCTTTCATACTTTCTGTGGTTTCAAGTTGCCTATCGTGGATGCTTCACTAAAGCAGGTGACGCTATGACATTTTATGATAAGTTCCATGACTTGTGGAAAATAATTCTATCACAGTTGTAAATATGGCAACACGAGAGTCCAGAGTGCTGCCAGCAGTTAAGGGAATAAGAAAATTGGAACAAGAAGCTGGCAAATAGAAAGCCAACTTCAGCCTCGTCCTCTTGTGAACCTAAATATAAGACAACCTGTATGTTTTGGTGCTGACTACTAGTTCGTACTACCGAATACTAGACTTACCATCTTACATTTAGGAGCTATTCATTGTTTATTTAACAAATGTAATTGGGCCGTAAAAAAGACGCGTGCTATAAAACGAAGATGGACGACTTTGAGGAGCTTAATTTCACAGTGAAATATTGGTGCGTCTGCCAAAGCGCTTAGCATACTTCTTGTGAAACAAAGCTCCTAAAATTCACGTGTCTTTGTTTCATGGCACTCCCCCTTTTTTATCGACCAATCACAGGCTTTGTTGCAAACTGTCTTTGTCCGTGGAGTTCACCCAAATGCCATGTGCGCGATACAGCCAACAAAGCCTCCGCTCGACGTCTGCGCTTCTTCGTTTTCTCCACAATTACGAAATATTGTTTCGCTGAAGCCAACATCATCTCCAAAAGAAGTATGCTGAAGCTTTTACAACTAGCCTCTTAACTGGTTACAGTTAATCCTGCCTATGGGATAAGTTGTAATGTATGCTTTCCTGCCACTTTCGGCTGAATTGGAAACAAAGTCTATGCTTTTATTTGTAACAGAGATGTGCTTGTATAAAAAATGAACTTGTTCAAATACTTTTAGTATGATGAAGTGCAAAAAACATATTAGGTCATGCCCCACTCTGCCCTGTTTGTCAAAAATTCTTACGGTAAAGCACTGAGCTGAATCAGAAACTACATCCTCCTATGATATTGCAAGCATGCTATTGACATTAGCATTAGATTTCAGTGCTTCCTTAGTAATTTTTTGATGAAACTAATTCACTGTATTAAGGATTTACTCTAATAAATTTGCCAGCACCATAGTGCACACATCCTATTGTAGCCTCCTTTACACACAAGACTAACAGGCTCAGCATCACATGACGAGTCCTCGATAAACTGACTGACCAACAAGCAGCAGTTTCTATTCTGTAGCTAACATTCATCAGGACCATGGAGGAGATTGAGAAAGATGGAGATTATGAGAGTATCTATATGAATATAGATGATATTGAAAAAAAAGATGAGAGTGACAGCATCTATCTGAACATTGCAGCAGAGAAAACAGGTAAATATGAATTGACAGAGAACACAATCAATCACTGCAAAACATATTTGGATATTAAATGTTTGTATAAAATGTTTTGCAGGTGTTGTTTGGCTTTGATTTTAAAAATAGTGCATTCATATCCATTCTTCAATGTAACAAAAGTATCTTGTTTAGAAATGTGTAATTATTTCACAATTCCTAGCCGATTACTCAGGTTTAATAATCACCTAGTCCTAGTTTCCTGAGAAAGATAAATTCAAGATAAATTGACCTAAAACATTTTTAAATGCATTTGTGTTACTAAATAGGTTACTATATAGGTTTAGCCAAAAACCTTCTAAAGTGTAATATATGATACTGTGACATGACTTTGTTCTGGGTAACTTTGGCTCATTTCTGTTGATCCATTCATTATTACATGTTCACACAACATAAAGGACAAGGGATGTAAAGAATAAAACGGTAATAAAGGAAATATGAGGTGTTGATAATGACAGAATGACAATGACAATAGGATGATGACAAATCTTCTGAAAATCTGTTCTAGTGGAAGTAGAGAAGAGAAAGAGGTAGTAGCAGCACTCTTAGGTGTCTGCTTTTGTGTGGTTGATACTATATCTCTGTCAGTGCATTCACATCATAGAAAGATCACTGAGAAAGCAGTAGTGGCAGCCTAACCATGTTGCTATTCTGACTCTTCCAGGTTCTGAGGCTGTTTCTGAGGGGAGGCAGGTGCGCTCTGGTAGGCCAGCTGCAGTGTGTCTGGCGCTGCTGTGTGTTCTCCTGCTGGCTGTAATCACAGGCCTGAGTATAAAACATTATGCAGAGAGAGAGCAGTTACGGAACAGGTACAACAACGTGACTATGGAGAGAGACCAGTTACAGAGCAGCTTTATCAACATAACTAAGGGGAAAGACCAGTTATGGAGCTCTAATAATGACATAACTAAACAGAGAGACCAGTTACAGAACAGATATGTCAGCATAAGAAAGGAGAGAGACCAGTTATTGGATGCTAACAACAGGCTGGCTATAGAGAGAAACAAGCTACAGACCAGCTATGAAGTCCTGTCCAAGGAAAGAGAAGAACTTCAGAGGCAGCTCACAGAGAAGGGTGAGTTAGAACTGATAATAGACCATTTATTAGCAAAATAGTCTTGAATGTTACAAATGTGAGCTCAGAACAGCAGAAGTTGATCATGACAGTAAATTGTACTCCTTTTATAGCTTGTCCATCTGGATGGACAAAGTTCATGTCCAGCTGTTACTACGTTTCCTCCCATGGGCAAACCTGGGATCAAAGCAGGCAGGACTGCAGAATGAAAGGAGCAGACCTGGTGATCATCAACAGCAGAGAGGAACAGGTGAGAGTGTAAAGGAAAGATCTCAACTTACCAGTGTTACCAATGAGTCCAGTGCCGGTTCTACCTATACGCACACTACGTAGATTGCATAGTGGCCCATACCTGCTGAGGGGGCCAACCATGGCAGGCATGATGGCATTCATTTTTAGATTTATTAACTAAGTGAATGTTATAAATTTATAAAGAGACCTAAACAATTTGTAATGTTCAAATGTTCTTATGTCAAAGTGTGACTGGTCACATCAAGGGTAGCAACAATCAAGTGCAAATCAAGTGCAAATCAATCAAGTGTGAACGTAGTAACTGTGGCAAACATTACAGGCTTGCTCTGAAGCACAATTACCAGTCAGGCCTTGAAAAAGGAAAAAAAGGGTGCTGACAGTGTAAGAGTGAGATAAGTGGTCTCTCATCTCTTTTAAAGTATGAGTGGGTTTTCAAAAATGTCCAGCTGTTACTACGTTTCCTTCTATGGGCAAACCTGGCTTAACTTTCTAACATCAGGTTAATCTGAAATGGCTCTGTAATGCCTGTGTAGGTCACCCAGGTTCTATCTCTATTCACCAAATATTGCACTGTATACAAAATACAGAGCCATTTGTGTTTCAGCCATAGGGTACTCAACTTCCTGTAGGCATATACAGGATTGTTTGTCTTATGACCTGCATAGACAGTTGGGGCAAATTTAAAGAGAAATATGGGATGTAACATTGCTTTGGTAGAGGATGAAGGTATGTTTTTAGGTGATGGGGGATTTTGCTTCGGGCCCCAGGAAGTTGGAGAACCAGCACTGAGTGAGTCACTTAAAGGCTGTTTAAGGCAATTCTTGTTTTATCATCAGGTATTTGTCTCTGGACTTGGAAAGATTTTGTGGATTGGTCTGACTGATCAGGCCACTGAGGGGCACTGGAAATGGGTGGATGACACATCATTAGGAACTGGGTATGGAACAATTACAGCTTTCCTAGCTTATAAGGACAGTTTTTTTTCGGTCCGGTTGAGCAGCCACTTACATATAAAGTAGGCCCTTAGCCTACTGTTACGTTCTACAGGTCACTTTGGCTTCAATGTTTGTTTTTGCCTGTTTGTGGTTTCTTAGGTACTGGTTGCCTGGTGAGCCGAATAACGCAGGGTATGTCTCTCAAGAGGATTGTGCTGAGGTTGTTCCTCATGTTGGCTCCAGTGACACACTATCCAGCTGGAACGATGTTTCATGCAGCAATGTCCTTTCTTGGATATGTGAAAAGAAGATGCGTTGCACAGCTGAATAAATGCCCTAAAGAAATTTTCTTTAAATCTTTCTTTTCCTTTTCAGTCCATTCCTTTTCCTTTACTGTAATCTGTCATAGGTGCACTGTTCTATTGTTTTTCATGTTGCTGACTACAAATGAAAAGTAACTCTGAAGTTAGATGTTTTGATTTACTGAGTCCTCTTGGTAAAATGCGATGAAACGCCTTTATCAGTTTGATCTGAAGCGCGTGTCAGACTCCAGTCCTCGTGGACCACAACACAACAACTTCAGCTCACTGCCTCTTTAAACACACCTGATTCAGCTCATCAGCTAATTAGCATGGCCTGTATAAACTGAATTCAGAGCGTGCCTGAAAGGTCCCCAGTTTGACATGCCTGATCTAAAGCTTGAAAATTAGAGAAAATGATGAAAGAAGTCTGAAGGCTGAGTTGGACACATTTCTGTGACCTTAAGACCAACTTAAACAGATTGGTAGAGCTAAATTTGAAACCTGATCCAAACCTGCTTGCATGCATTAACAGAAATGGATAATTGCAGACGTGGTTGTACAGCGCTTTGGTCAAAGGACCTGTTTCATTGATTTCGTAAGTGGAAATTAATACAGATGCCATTATATGCAATTTATATTTTTTTGCTAAATTTAACATATTAGGGAAAAATGTAAACATAAAATTGCCTGTGCAAAGGTGATGGCATATTTAATGTTTTATTTTTTTTCCAATATGTTAAATTCAGCAAATACAAAGAAAATGTCATGTTTAAGAGTGTTCTCTGTAGAGGGTAGAAGAATTGCTTCTATATGTGTAGTAAATGGAAAATATTTACATACTATCCCTCTAAACAAAATAACATCCTGAACATGCTGCTGCAGATAAAAGTCACTTATTTTATTTCATAATTCTTCTCCAGTTTAATGTAACTTAAAATTTATTTAAACATTCTTTAAAATGTAATAGCTTTTACATAAATCAACATTTTCCATAAAGGTAGTACAGTGTGTATATTTTAAAAGCATATTGAATACATAATGAAGTAGGTTCAGTGTAAAAGCTGCACAGTGTACATACAGAAGAACAGATGAGCTGTGTTTATAACCACCACTTTCCTGTTTATCTGTTTAATCTTCACTGCTGTTGGATGAAGGGGATGAAGGCCCTTGCTTCATGTGGCTGAATCTTTTGATGTAATTATCTTACTTCATTAGGGACCATTTCTCGTATAAATCACTGTGAGAGAGAGAGATAAAGAGAGGCAGTGCAGTTAGTGGTTAACCCTCCTATAATATTTAAATTTACTAACATCTTTCATCCCTAGGGTCAGTTTAAACTTCCAGGAAATGTCAAAGTTCTCGTTGGAGTTACGTTTTCCTGAGTACTTCCCATATGTGGTGTGAACTTTTACTGGTTCTCAGACTACTACAGCTATGGTGATGTTAGGGCCTTAAAGAAGTGGGACATTTTTTGAAGATTATAAATTTGCATGTTATAATGATCTCAATATCATCCAAAACAACCAAAATAATTGTTAAACATTGAACAGGGTCAAATTGATCCCAAAATTAATAGGAAAGATAAGCATTATTTTCTATCAGTTCTGAATAGAAGCATTCATACAGCAGATGAAGAAAACTAGACACACTCTTCTCATGTGCTCTGCATGTGTCTGACAGCTTTTAGACAGATGTAACCACAGTGTGCAGAAAGAGTTTGACCACAGTGATGTTTTGTACCGTCTGAAATAGTGCAGGTCTGTGGGAAACTGCTGTACGTTCACACTGTGGTGTTCTTACACGGCTAACACTTTTAACAGTTTGCAGTAGATGTGACAGCATTTACAGTCATTTGCAAAAGTTTGAACACTGCTGGTCAAATTACAAGTTTTGTTGGTTTTCAGATCCTCTGCAGGAACATGTATGTTTGTTGATTTATTTTCTCCAGCACTTGAACACAGCAACTGCCTTTTACATTATGTGACAATTTCTTAATGAATAGACCAACAGAAATGCTCAAAATTACTTGGAAGTCTTGTTACATTAACTTATATTGATAGTTAACAATGTTGTTTATTTGTCTTTCTGTTTAGAGATGCACATTTTTCTTTGGTCAGCGATGGTATGATAATGATTTTTTTTTTTCCCTGCAATTTGTACAGTACAATTTCTGTTTCTGTCTGAGTCTATTTATTTGCTGATATTTGGAAAAGTATAAAATATTAATTATGTAAAGGAGAGAGCAGATTTGACAGCCCTTAATTATATACAAGCTACTCTTTGTCTGATTCATGAAACTATCCTACAACGTAAAAACGCAAACTATGAATCAGTCTCCATGCGTAAAATCAAGTGCCAGCCTACCACACACCCTAATTTATGCAGATGCTTCATTAGAGGGGCCAGTAACAAGAGCTTTCAGCAGCTCGTGAGCCAATAGCTGTGCTCGTAGGTGGAGTTTATGGTCGAGCAGCGAGTCTGCACTTGTTCTCTGTCTTCAGGGAAGATAATCATGGAGGGCGCACATGGTTATGGACAGACACTGCTGTGCCAAACGAGCTGTAGATGAAGAGGCTGAATGGATAAACAATTACTAATTGGTTGTCAGGTAATGAACATATTTGCATGTTCCGTCCCACACAGCAGTCAGATTTCAGTTCAACTAACCAGAGACGCATTTGACTACCAACTGTAAATACATGTGGCTAAAATCTGATCAGGACACAATCCAAATACTAATCACATGAAGTAACCTGGTGTAAACGGGGTCATTGATGAAAAAGAGCCATTGTGCCTTAACTGTTGATTACATTATGTGAATGTTTCATGATGAATAGACAAACAGAAATGGTCCAAAATTACAGTAAAACATTACATTAACATATTACATTATATTCATCTTACATAACACTAAAGCTAAGCACATACTTTTCTTCTCCTAAAAAGTTTCAGATCTATGAGGTTTTGTTATAACAAAGTATTCTAGGTCAAAATATATCTGTTATGTTTTAAGCCAGGAGTTCCAATTCCAGTCCTGGCACAACACTGAGCACATTTTTGAGCTCTGTCTCATGAAGCACCTCTAATTCAACCGGTTAACCTTTTGACAAGCGCCTCATTAGCTGGGTAGAGTAGGGAAACCACAAAAATGTGCAGAGCAAAGGGTCACCAGCACTGAGATTGGGAACCCCTCTTTGAGCAATTTGGCCTCTTGTAGCTGCTGTTTATTTCCATGGGGAGATGCAGGGTATAAGTAAGGAATTAATGTAAAGAGGAAGTTTAACAGCAATCATTAGGTTATGTTAAAGAGCCCATATCTTCCTTTTATCCTAATTGTTTTCTTGTATTATATTTGTGTGCTATGATGTATCAAAAACAGTCAGAATTAATTTCTGCATGACTATTTTCCAACCTTCTGTTCTGATTGGCTGCTCTGTATTGTGCCTCATTCAAAAAGCAGTCCAGACTGAAACCCCCCTTACAATTTAGGCTTTCATGATATCACAGGACAGTGAATTCACAATATGGACTGTATGGACTAGTCAGTGGTATGTTTTGAAAACTTAAGCTTCTCACGTACTGTTTCACAATTTTATTTAAGAAAATGAGGAAAACTGTTTGATGATGCGGGTCTTTAAATATAACTGCTTTACAAAGAGTCATTAATAATAGTAGTAGTAATAATAATAATAATAATAACCTTTTGTGAGTAGATCAAGATCATTTTGCTGTTTTTCTTGCAGACACATGGATTTCTTACTCCATAGAAACACAACCATCCCGATTACTGCCACTGCCGTGGATGTTATTAGAGTAATAGGAGAGATGTTAATTCGAGAAAAAGTAGCTGACTTCCAACCTGCACAAAAGAAAAAAAAATCTTACATTCAAATGTATAAACCTAAAATTAAATATTAATTCTGTGTCTTTACCTTTAAACTTCGTTAGCCTGACACTCCTTACAAGGAATGTAAAAAAAAAGTTTGAAACATTCCATAACCTACAGTTTTCTTCCATTTTATTAGAACACTTAGTATGTTAGTGTTGTTTTATCTACTAAAACGGTCATAATTCATTTACATCACCATTTTCCAACCTTTCTTTTCCTCTTAGAATTAAACAGTCTGTGTGTGCCTTTAGGACTGATAGAGCTCTGTTCTGATTGGCTGGCTTCATTTAAAAAACCTGGGTTGAAACGTTCCTTATAATGTCAGTGTGAACAGGCAGGACTAAACTGCTATAGGCTGAATTGGGGGATATATGCAAATATGCTGGTTTTCATGATATCACAGAAACAGTGAATTCAAAACAGGCAGGTTTGTTTCCCTACATGGACTGTATAGACCTCAGTGTGAATGGCATATTTAGAAATTTTAGCAGTATTAATATACTACATCAAACCCTTTAATTATCACATGGGTCCTTTAAAACTAGATATAAGTGCTGCGTTTGGAAAGAGCTGCTAATATAAATGTAAACTGAAGAAAGTGAATCCAGTCTTGTGTCCTTCAATCAGTGCCAACGCCAACATAGCTTTTTTTGTTGGACATATTAGTCATTATATAAACTGCAGAAGTTCAGAATCTCAAATTTGTTTTGAACGCTACTCATACTGGTCATTTTTTCATGAGACAACCATCCCCAGCCCACTTAGAGGGAAGATTTCATTTACACTCATATGCAAAGGTTTTGGCATCCCAATGAAATGACACGTTTTGTTTGATTTTCTAAGTGAACATAAGTTAATAACACATCCTATACGAAAACACTTCTGCACAGTTTATCGCACAGTTACTCCATTTGCTCAATTTAACATGTTGGAAAAAATAACACAAAATGTGGTCTGTGCAAAAGTTATGGCACATTTCATACTTGCTTTATTTTTTTCCAATGTGTTACATTGAGCCAATAACTAGAAATTGTACACTAAAATGTACAGGAAAATAGCATGTTTAATTTTGTTCTCTGTAGAGAATGTCTTAACTAATTTTCATGCAGAAAATCAATGAAACATCATTTGATCAAACATTTGTATATAACTGTATGTTTCTGGATGTTATAACTGTATGCATCTTCCAAAAGCACAGCATTAAAATCCTGCCAATCACAAGAGACTGAAATACTACCTAAAGCCTACAACAGTAGTACTCTACTGCAGACTGGTTACAAGTCACTGTGCAAAATTAAGAGAAACTAGAGTTATGGAAATAAATGTAAGTGTCTAGTTTCATACCTGGTTTATGACGGCAGAGCTCTATAATATGAACTGTGGTCATCTGCTCACTGACTGGGTTGGAAGCCACACAGCTGTAGGTGTTATTGTCAGACCTCAATTTCCAACAGCAGATTCAGTGTGTCATTTCGACTGGAGCTGTTGATGTGGTTTAATACGTTTTTGCCTTTAAACCAAAACAGATTCAGTCCTCTCACATTCCTCACTGAGCACTGCAGTAAACAGAGGTCACTCTCTGCAGGATTGGACTTCAGTTTTGTCAATTGTGGTGCTGAAACTTTATCTGGACACAAAAGAATAAATCATCCTTAAAATCTGCATGCTTCATGCTTGTATTTTCTTCACTGATTTATTTTATAATAACAAAAAATAAGCTTACTGTACACATTCAGCTGATAGGCTTGTATTCTGTTCTCCTCTTTAGTATCTCTGTACAGTATAAACACCGGAATCGTCTGTTCTCAGGTCTGAGAGAGTGAAGAACCCACTCTGACTGTCCCAGTGGAGGCGATTCTGAAACTCCTCAGTACTGTTTGTATCAGTGTGTTTATTCAACACCTGTCCAATGACTCTGCTTGCATAACTTATAGTTCCAGATACAGGAACCAGAATAGAGAATGTTATAGACTCTCCTGCAGCTCTGTTCAGTACCTCCTCCTGAGCTGAAGTGCTGGAAACTGACACAGATATGAAGATTTCTGTACAGAGAGATATTGAAAAAGTCAATGCCAAATTTCTTATTTTACTGCAAAAATATTGTTTGAATCTGAGTACGATTTTACGATGCTTACAACCCAAACAAAGCTGTCAGCTTTTCTGCCAGCTGAATTTCATGAATGGACCAATAGAAACGCTCCAAAATTACTACCTTTTTTTGTGCTTCTCCTGAGAAGTTACCATTTCTAAGATATGTGGTTTTGTTATGACAGCAACTGTATAACTTTATAGCCTAAGTTAGAACTTAACCCGTTTGTTTTCTCTTCCTCTAAGCCCTGTCAGCTGCTAACATGAAGCCGTCTTGAGGCCGTGTGCATGAATAAGAGCTGAAAACCACATTTCACACATTTGCTTTAAAAAAGAAACAAGCTACAAAAACATTGAGATGATGACATCCAAGTTTGATTAATGCAACTTAAGCAAATCTGTACTGCTAAAACATGATGTCCTCATAAGATGCAAATTTAATACATTTAATAAAAAAGGAATCCAAGCATAAAGCGTACATGGTTTTCCTAATAACATACTTTCCATAGACTTTTTAATTTAAAAATATGTTTGATAACATTTTAGATATCATCGCTGTCCAACAAGCAGAGAAAAAAATAAGCTCTTGGATGTTGTAGCAATAGAAATGCTTCAAAATAACTTGGAATAAAATCTTACATTACCTTACAATAAAAGTGAAGAACCGTACAATAAAGTGACCACTTTACAGATTTTTTTTTCTTTGGTAAGCAATAGTTTATTAGAAACCAATTTAAACTCACCCCATAAACAAAAGAAAAGCAGAGTCTATCTTTGATGGTGAAACTTTGCCGTCTTCATCATTTAACTATAGGTATAGTTGATGATTATATTGTGTGTAAACAAGCGCAGAGTCTTAGTCATGAATTCAGGAAGCTCAGTTACGGACGTCTGTATTGGGGTGGGACTAAAGCTATTTGTGTTCAGTGTGTATGAAAGGGGGCTGTGGTTTTCTGTGGAAAATAACACAAAACTCCCTACACGGTTACCTAAGATCTCATACTGTTCCGTTTACTAGTTCAAATCACTGTTAAACATCAGATTTTGTTTCATATTTACAGATAATATTGACACACAGCTGATATACTAACAGTGTGACCTGCATATTAGCTTTTATGGATATGATGATAGTTCTTATCTCTTCTCACAGCCTTTTTATTATTATTATCTCAGCTCATTGGTTTATTGTCTTCTTCATGATCTTAATGATCACATTCTAGAGTCAAACTAATGACAGGGACCACATCCACTTTCACTCAGGACTGTGACTGTAGTTGCAAACAGTGCTCCAGTTTTCTTCCCAATGAGCCAGAATACAGTGTTACAATAATGATGTCAAGATTGTATTAATGACTTTACTGTCATATACAGTTTGTCTCTAAGCTCTTATCTGTGCATAATTAAACACTTTACTCCAGTTATTGTGTAGAGTTTATCAGCTCACCTGTTGGTGCTGCATGTTTTACACTGTAAATACAGAAAGTACAGACCAAACATTTTACATATTCAGACACTTTGCTCTTTAATGGGGAGTATTGTACATCTCGACATTAGCAAAAGGCAGAGACCACCCATTGTTTATTTCATATCATGTCAAAACATCCACAATACAAATACACACTACGATACAGTACAACTTGAGTGTAAATGCATGGCAGCTTATTAGATACAGTTATTGATTAGTGTTAATCAGCCATCGTTTTCATTTTCCATGATCATAAAGATCACACACACTTTGTTATTATTGATGTTAACTCATTCACTTCAGTAATAATGTGTGTAGTAAGTGCGTGTGGGTCGGCTGATTTGAATTCCGGAATCGTACAAATTGAAGATAGTAAGCAAAAGACCCTCTGTTTGCTAAAATATTTGTGCTAATTATTAGCTTTTTTATTTGTATTATTATTTACTGTAAATTATGTGTTAAATATATTTTTCATTTAAGTAATACCCCAAAGTTAGTGTGAGCATAACGATTATGGAAATATTATAGTGATGGGTAATTAACAGTTTAATGTTAGTCCTGCCGAGCTAGTCAAGCTGAAGTCTTTATATCTTTAGAATAAAGTACTTTACTGTAGCTTCAGGTACAATGAGGTTCTATTTTCTTAAAGATGCTTTTATACAAGACCGTAATATGCATAAAATGTAGATAAATGCAGACAGTATACGTAAATAAATTTAAGCAGAGTTCTTAGAAAAACAGCATACAAACATGAGCTGCACATGTATCATCTAACCACCACTTTCCTGTTTGTTTCTAAGCTGTTCTGCTGTGGACGGAGCGTCATGCGGTTCAGTCTTGCCATAAATTGTAAGTAGCTGTTTTAACAGGGGCCAGCTGTCGTATATATCACTGAGAGAGAGAGAGAGAGAGAGAGAGAGAGAGAGAGAGAGAGAGAGAGAGAGAAGTTATTGGCTAAGCATTCATCATCATCTCATTATTTGATGTTAATAGTTACTTTAATATCCCGACCAGTAAAATGACATTTATTAATCTTTTTCTAGTAGTTGTCTACAGGAACCCGAGTAGGGAATGTAATAGACTCTCCTACAGCTCCATTCAGCACTTCCTGAGCTGAAGTGCTGGATACTGACACACAGATGGAGATTTCTGCATAGACAGATATTAAGAATATCAGTATGAACACTTTTGAATTAAATATCAGTACAAGTAAAATGGTATCAGTTGTTTTAAATCAAGTAACAACTTAAATATACCAGGCTTTTAATATATGATGTGCTGTCCGCACTAACACGTCTGAGTACAGCTGTGAGATAATAAAGCATCTGCATGCCATGAGTCTGAACACTGACATTAAGTTAAAAGCAGTAGATGCAACATTCAATTCTACACTTACATATTGTCGCTAATGTGACAACACCTAGTGTTTTCAAACATGCTCACTTTATGAATATGATGGCAGAGTTCGGTGGGGTGCATCTCTACTCCTCTTATTGTAGCCCTGTCATGAAAGGCTGTTCAAATGATAAGGTTGTGGATAAGGATGCAGCTGAGACATTCACACAGTTTTTGCGGATGCTAAAAAATCTTGGCATTTGAAACCAACACGTACAGTGTACAATGTACAGTACGCTATTTATCTTAACTGTTTAAGTGAGTGTAAACTGAATGCAGGGTGTGATGCACCTGCTATCAGTGATCTAAACAGCTTTTAGCTTGCAGGACAGCATTTAATTACAAACACAATGTTTTCCCAACACATTACATTGTTCACATCAACATTTTGCTTGCCAGCTGACTGATATTCACATCAGCAGTATTTCCTTCATCACATTTTGTGCATCACCTTTTTCTGATGACTTGACAAGCCTTGTTAAACTGGCAGGTTTTCTGTCACATGAATTTAGATCCAAAAACTTTTTAAAAGCAATAACCTGTTGTAAAATTATATTTACGTGTTCCTGTGCTTGTTTAAACATGTTTTGATTTCTTTTGATGCCCCTTCACATGTAAAAATATCACATGGATGTCTTTTGTCACATCCCAAAAAATCCACAGGCTCTCTGTCAGATTTTACTGTAAAATGTATATTATATATATTCATGAGTTCATATATTCATATATGAACTCATGAATAAGACTGCTTTATTCATTTCATATTGCTATATTTTCTGATATTAATTACAGACTCCAGAATCTCCTGCAGAGAGCTGAGTCTGAGAGCCAGGCTTATTCTATGATTAGACGTGAGTAGAATGACGTTTCCTCTTCTCTGACAGGGCAGCTGTGTGAATACAGTTACCTTCTCTTACCTGAAGATGGCAGCAGAGACCAGGTAAAACCATGAATTCAAGGAATGAAAATGCTTAAAGTTAAAAGAGATTAAATGGTATTTACTTTCTCATATTCAGTAACACTCAGTTTTGTTTATGTGCATATAATATCTTGGATATTTAATTTGGTGTGTCTACTCTAGAGCTCTACCTAATCAACTGCCATACAGTTAACAGCCTTTTTTGCCACTAATGTTGTATTCAGAATCAACTTTTAATTGACTATTTATAGCTTGTGTAAGTCATTCCAGGCTTTACAGGTGTTATCTGGATGTTTTTAGTGTACATTTATTATTTAATTTGCACATAATCTTTAAGCCAAGACTTAACTGTAACCAAGCATAACAAGGGCCCTTTGTTAGGTGTTCATCTCACTTTGTGGATAGGCTTCGGCAAAAGAGAGTAGATTTGTCCGATCAGGTATGAGTGTAAGTGCAGGTCATTGTGAGAACAGGAGTTTAGCTCTATACATACTGTATATTTGTAAATGTTTGCAAATGCAATTTTATGTATCTGTCCTGCTGTCAGAACAGATCATCACTGAAAGATGCACATAGATCAGTTCAGGTTATTAAGTTCATAATGTGTTAACATCTAAGTAGTGCCAACAAGTGTCAATTAAAACTTGCAGTTGACTGTAAAATATGTGGAATTAGGTAGGTAGCTATGTTCTGTACAAGGTGGGCTACAGTACCTTTCATTTGGCAGCATTCAAACATAAATAGAGTACACCATCTTTTTTTATCCAGTCACCCAAACTATATATTTAGAGGTAATGTGTGTGTGTGTGTGTGTGTGAGTGTGAGTGTGAGTGTGTGTGTGTGTGTGTGTGTGGGGGCACGGGTTGCCAGACTCCAGTGCTGTGGGGGCCACAGAACAACAGCAGAGTTTAGCATTCATCATTTAACACACCTGATTAAGCTCATCAGCTGATCTTGTTAGTTTTCATTAGTTGAATTCAGAGTTTTAGAAGAGGGAAACCTCTAATCTCTGCAGAGCTGCAGCCTCCAGGACCTGAGTTTGACACAGTTGCTTTAAGTGAATTAAAAGCCAAGAATTTTTCTTTAAACGCAAAGAATTTAGACCCCTGACATATGTGTAACATCGTAAGTTGGCTCAGTTGATTTCAGTCATGTAAAGACTGCTTATATAATATTAGATTTTTAAAATTATTATTGAATGAAATGTATTTATTTTATACAATAATTAAATAAAAATAATATCATTTATTTATAAAAAATGTTTGGTGTGTAAAAAAATTGCACATGGCGAAGTGAATATTTTGCTGAATGGAAAGGGTTAATTTAGCATTTTTATTTGGGTATCAGGTGCCGAATAAACAAACAAAAAGGTTTTCAGATTTTGCTATATTTTATATGAACAGCTTATATGATATAGATTGCTATAGTCAAACATTAGATTAATGCCTTTTTTGCCTTTTCAGTGTCACTCAGTCATTGCGTTGTGAACTCTCATATTCATCAAAATGATGTCATGTCCACTAGATGGTGATGCTGGGTTAGAGGGGAATTCCACCATTTCTTTACAGTGATGGGGATAGGAACCAAATATAGCTACTTTATTTACTTTCCACCTACATGTACCTACTTGTGCCTTTTTAGTTTCTTATAAAGTAGATGTAAATCTGAAAAAACTAAAAAGAAAAATCTTGGGTATTTTGCATTAAAAACTCCCTACATGTATCTTTCTGACAAAAATGACCAAATCTTAACTCAAAACAGTCCTAAGATAATATCTCAAGCACTGGGCAATGTACTTATCACTTATTAGATTTAGCATCCTGGGAGGTAGCTTTCATAAAAAGTAAACACTTTAATGAATCAGAAATTTTGAAAACTTCTTGGAATTCCCCTTTAAGGATTCTGTAATTGGCGTCTTGTTGGCCGTGTTGACAATTTCAACTAACAACATATTTCTTTCAAATATAGATCATGTAACAAATTCTAGAAATATTCAGTCAGACAAGAAAGAAAAACTGCAAATCAGCTTCATATGTTGGTCTGATGTTTTTAATAGAAAAGTATAAATGTTTACTGTGGATAACCAAGTGTCAACAATAACATCATCAAACTTATTGCAATTTGGTCAAATTCCAGTTTTATGTTGATGTACATTTGACATTTAAACCTTGAAGTATTAATTCACTAATGTAACCTAATTTTTCATATAACAGAATAAACAGTTCTCACAATCAAATATTTGAACAATAACAGGGCTTAAAAGGCTGCACCCAAACCACATATTACCATACTATACAGTACACCTGCATCAGTCCTACATCCATGTGTATAGTGTGTATGATATAGTATAGTATCTGATGAGGGTAAACGTTAATATCTGCAGCACTTTGGACTGAGACGTCCCCAGTTTGACATGTCTGACCTGAAGCCTGAAATGTATATGTGAACTCTCCTCTTCAGCTCATCTCATAGTTTTCCAAGGGTTAATGTCTCTATGGAAGGTGAAGAATTGCCTAACAATGCAGTGGAAATGCTTGTATGATAAAATGGGAGCTAATGCCTTGTTATCATTTTGTGGTGTCATGTGCTTTTGTATGGTTTAGATCAATTAAGACTCAGTTCGGATCAGGAGAGCCTAAAGCCCAAAATGAGAGGAAAGATACACTAGAGGTCTGTATGGTCATAAGGCTGAAGTCTCTGAAGCCCAAACCGTTTCCACAACCTTGAGACCAGTTTAGAAATTGTGCGCTAAAATTTGCAGAGAAATGTGAGATTTAAGAGTGTTCTCTGTAGAGTTTATGTTGTGTTTGTTTCTATATGAGTAGTAAATGGAAAATAGAGAGTGATAACATTCTGAACATGCTGCTGCAGTTAAAAGTCAAACTTTGAGGTCTTTCTCCAGTTTAATGTAGCATGAAATCCATTCAGCATTCTTAAAAATGTAATAGCTTGTACATAAACCACAATTTTCCATAACGGTATTATAGTGTGGATATTTTAAAAGCATATTGAAAACATATTTGAAGTAGGTTCAGTGTAAAATCTACAGTGTACATATAAAGGAACACCACTTTCCTGCTTGTCTAATCCTTCTTGCTGTTGGATGAAGGGGATGGAGGCCCCTGCCTCATGTGGGTGAATCTCTTGATGTAATAATGTTACCTCATTAGGAACCAGTTGTCGTATAAATCACTGTGTGAGAGAAAGAGAGAGAGAGAGAGAGAGAGAGAGAGAAAGAGAAAGAGAGGCAGTGCAGTTAGTGGTTAACCCTCCTCTTATATTTAAATTTACTAACATATTTTTTGTTCCTGTGTACCTCCTGTATGTGATGTGAACCTTTACTGGTTCTAGCACTACTACAGCTATGGTGATTTTAGGGCCTTAATGAAGCGAGACATTTTTTGAAGATTATAAATTTATCAAATTTTTGATAAATTTTTTATAATGATCTCAGTATCATCCAAAACAACCAAAATAAATGTGTGTAAAATGTTGATATTTCTTATTTCTTCTTTATAGAGCTAAAATGTGTACAAGACAGTAAAAACAGTAAATTAGGAAAAGAGAGATGTTGAATGTTGAACGGAGTCAAATTGATCCCAAAATTAATAGGAAGGATAAGCATTATTTTCTAGCAGTTCAGAATAGAAGCATTCATGCAGCAGATGAAGAGAACTAGACACACTCTTCTCACTATTCTATGTATGTGTCTGACAGCTTTTGGACACGTGTAACCACAGTGTGCAGAAACAGCTTGACCACAGTGATGTTTTGTAGTGTATGAAATAGTGCAGGTCTGCGGGAAACTGTTCACACTGTGGTGTCTTTATACAGCTAACACTTTATACAGTTGCAGCAGATGTGACAGAGTTTACAGTCATGTTTGAAGACTCCCGGTCAAATTACGTTTTTTTGTTTTCAAATCCTCTGCAGGAAGCAAGTATTGCTCCTGTCCAAAAAAACATGCATCTCCATTTTTGTTGATGTTTATTTTCTCCAGCACTTGAACACACCAGCTGCCTTTTACATCAGTGAAAATGTCTTGGTGAATAGACCAAGAGATGCACTCAAAAATACTTGGAATAAATGTATTTACTCTTACATTGTATGAACACTTCATGATAAATGGACCAATAGAAATGGTCCAAAATTACATTAAAATCTTACCTTGACATACAATTACAATACATTAATCTTATGTAACATTAACGCTAATAACATACTTTTCTTCTCCTGTAAAGTTTCAGAGATATAAGGTTTTGTTACAACATAAAGTATTCTAGGTCAAAATATATCTGTTTTGTTTTAAGCCAGGAGTTCCCAATTCCAGTCCTGACACAACACTTAGCACAATTTTGAGCTCTGTCTCATGAAGCACCCCTAATTCAACTGGTTAACTCATTAACATGTGCCTCATTGGCTGGGTAGAGTAGGGAAACCACAAAAATGTACAGAGCAAAGGGTCACCAGGACTGAGATTGGGAACCCCTCCTCAGGCAGTTTGGCCTCTTGTAGCTGCTGTTTACTTCCAGTGGGAGATGCAGTAAATAATCGAGGATTAATGTGAAGAGGAAGCTTAACAGCAATCATTGGGTTATTTTAAAGAGTCCATATCTTACATTTTTCCTGATTTTGTATGATATTTGTTTAGAATTATGTATCAAAAAACAGTCATAATTCATTTCTACATGACTATTTTCCAACCTTCTGTTCTGATTGGCTGCTCTGTAATGTGCCTCATTCAAAAAGCAGTCCAGACTGAAACCCCCCTCATAACTTAGGCTAAATAGGCAGATACTGTATATCAAAATGTGTTTTTATGACATCACAAAGAAAGAATTCAAAATGGGCAGCTCTTTTTCCATATATGCTCAGTATGGAGTGGTCAGTGGTATGTTTTGAAATTTGAGCTGCTCACATACTACATCACACTCTTACTTAACAAAATAAGTAAAATTGTTCGATGATACCGGCCTTTAAATATAACTGCTTTTCAAAGAATAATAATAATAATAATAATAATAATACCTTCTGTGAGTAGATCAGGGTCATTTTGCTGTTTTTCTTGCAGACACGTAGATTTCTTTCTCCGCAGAAACACGACCATCCCGATTACTGCCACTGCTGTGCATATTATTATAGTAAAGATGTAAGTTCGAGAAACAGAATTTGATACCCTACCTGCAAAAAAGAGAAATATCCTACATTCAAATATATGTATATACCTCAAATTAACTATTAATTCTGTGTCTTTATCGTTAAACCCTATTAGGCTGATACTCCTTACTGCAAAAGTAAAAAAAAAAATGTTTTAAAGATCCCATAACCGAATTTGTTCTTGCATTTTATTATAACACTTATCATGTTAGTGTCGTTTTATCTACTAAAACAGTCATAATTCATATTTACATTACCTCTCAACCTCTCTTTACCCTTTAAACAGTCTGTTTGTGCCTTTAGGACTGATAGATATACATGAGCTCTGTTCTGATTGGCTGGCTTTATTGAATAAACAGTCTGAGCTGAAACATTCATATTAATGTCAGTATGAACGGCAGGGCTAAACTGCTGTAAGCTGAATTGGGGAATATGTGCAGATGTGCTGCTTTTTGTGATGTCACAAAAACAGTGAATTCAAAACAGGCAGCTTAGTTTCCCTACATGGGCTTCACATTTTGAGGCACTATTTCTGTTTATTTACTGAATTTACAATATTGAAAAAAATAACACAAAGTGTGGCCTGTGTAAAAGTTATAGCACATGTTCTGTTGGTAAATAAATTTTTGCAGGAAAATAATATGTTTAAGTGTGTTCTCTGTACAGGACTTATTTTCACTTCTACATGTCATTTGACCAAACTTTTGTATATAACTGTATGTTTCTTTTTGTTTTTGTTCTTTTTGTTTTTGTTCTTTTTGTTCTTTTTTGTTTGTTTTACTCAGAGCATCTTCCAAAAGCACAACATCAAAATCCTACCAATCACAAGAGACAGGCCTGAAATACTACCTAAAGCCTACAAAATGTCTTATATACACAACAGTAGTACTCTACAGCAGACTGGTTACCAGTCACTGTGCAAAATTAAGAGAAATTAGAGTTATGGAAATAAATATAAGTATCTAGTTTCATACCTGGTTCATGAAGGCAGAGCTCTGTAATATGGACTCTGGTCATCTGCTTGCTGACTGGGTTGGTAGCCACACAGCTGTAGGGCTCATTGTCAAACTTCTCTATTTCCAGAGGGAGATTCAGTGTGTTGTTTAGACTGGAGCTGTTGATGTGGTTTAATAAGTTTTTGCCTTTAAACCAAAACAGATTCAGTCCTCTCACATTCCTCACTGAGCACTGCAGTAAACAGAGTTCACTCTCCGCAGAATTGGAGTTGAGTTTTATCACCTGAGGTGCTGATACTTTATCTGAAAAAAAGGATAAACTTAAAAAAAGACACAAGAATCTGCATGATTAATACTCTTCAGTGATTCATTTCATAATTGAGTAACAGTCTTACCGTACACGTTCAGCTGATAGGCTTGTTGTCTCTTCTCCTCTTTAGTGCTCTGTACAGTATAAACACCTGAATCATCTGTTCTCAGGTCTGAGAGAGTGAAGAACCCACTCTGACTGTCCCAGTGGAGACGATTCTTAAACTCCTCAGTAATGTCTGTCTCAGTCTGTTTATTGAACACCTGTCCAATGATTCTGCCTCCATACATTATAGAACCAGATACAGGAACCCGAGTAGGGAATGTAATAGACTCTCCTACAGCTCCATTCAGTACCTCCTCCTGAGCTGAAGTGCTGGATACTGACACACAGATGAAGATTTCTGTACAGACCGATATTAAAAAAGCCAGTACAAATTTTTTTTTTTACAGAATATTGTTTGAATCAGAGTACAGTTTTATGATGCTTACAATCTAAACATAGCTGTGTCTTTTTTATGTCTGAATTTGAAAATGCCAGCTATTCTGCCAGCTGAATTTCATGATGAATGGACCAATGGAAATGCTCCAAAATTACTTAGAAAAACTCTTGCTCCATCAACTCCCATTCAGTGTTTTCTTGTGCTTCTCCTGAAAAGTTACCATTTCTGAGATACAAGGTGTTGTTATGACTGCAGTTATACGACTTTATAGCCTAACTTCGAATTTAACCTGTTATTAATAAAGTGTTTTTTCTCTTCCTCTAAGCCCTGTCAGTTGTTAACATGACATGAGGCCGTGTGTGAATGAGAACTTAAACCACAATCCACGTATTTGCTTTAACAGTAAGAAACGTTTTATAAAAACAATGAAATGATGAGATCCAGGTTTTATTAATGCAGCTGAACCAAATCTGTACTGCTGAATCATGATGTCCTCACAAGATGCACATTAAATGCATGTAATAAAAAAATCCAAGCATAAAGTTCACAGTGATTTTCTAACAACATAGACTTTCCCATCAGTGCTGTTATTTTGTTTTTATTTAAATATATCTTTAAGAACATTCCAGATAACATCACTGTCCAAAAAAATTAAAAAAATCTCCTGAATATTGGATCAATAGAAATGCTTCAAAATTGCTTGGAATAAAATCTTTTTATGTTAAATTACATTAATAGTAAAGAAGGTTTTTGTTCTGTCCTGTAAAGTTGCCACTTTGGAGATTTTTTTTTTGATGGTGATGTGTTATTAGATTAGATTAGATTAGATTAGATTAGATTAGATTTAAACTCACCACATAAACAAATGAAAAGCAGAGTCCATCTTTGATGGTGAAACTTTGCCATCTTCATCATTTAACTGTAGTTATAGTTGATGATTATATTGTGTGTAAACGAGTGCAGAGTCTTAGTCATGAATTCAGGAAGTTCAGTTACGGACGTCTGTATTGAGGTGGGCCTAAAGCTACTTGTGTTCAGTGTGTATGAAAGGGGGCTGTGCTTTTCTGTGGAAAATAACACAAAACTCCCTACATGGTTACCTAAGATCTCATACTGTTCCATTTACTAGTTCAAAGCACTGTTAAACATCAGATTTTGTTTCATATTTACAGATAATATTAACACACAGCTGATATACTAACAGTGTGACCTGCATATTAGTTTTTATGGATATGATGATAGTTCTTATCTCTTCTCACAGCCTTTTTTATTATTATTATCTCAGCTCATTGCTTTATTGTCTTGTTCAAGATGCTCTAATGATCACATTCTAGAGTCAAACTAAAGACAGGGACCACATTCACTTTCACTCAGGACTGTGACTGTAGTTACAAACAGTGCACCAGTTTTCTTCACAATGAGCCAGAATACAGTGTTACAATAATGACAACATCAAGATTGTATAAATGACTTTACTGTCATAAAGAATTTGGCTCATCTGTGCATAATTAAACACTTTAATAATTAAACACTTTTTTTTGTGTAGAGTTTATCAGCTCATCTCTTGGTGCTGCATGTTTTCCACTATAAATACAGAAAGTACAGACCAAACATTTTACATATTCAGACACTTTGCTCTTTAATGGGGTGTATTGTACATATAATTCAGATTCAAATTCAGAGAACACCCTCTGTTTATTTCATTTCATGTCAAAACGTCCACAGTACAGATACAGTACAATACAGCTTGAGTATAAATTCATGGCAGCTTATTAGATACAGTTATTAATTAGTGTTAATTAGCTATCATTTTAACGTTCACACAAACTTTGCTTTTATTTATACTAAACCATTCACATGAATAATAATGTGTATAGCAAGTGTGTGTGGGTAAAACTAATACTCATGCTAATCATTTGATATTTTTTAACTGTATTATTATTTACTATAAATTGTTTTAAATGTATAGTCTTAATTTGCGTAATAGCTCACAGTTAGTGTGACCATAACAGTTATGGAAATATTAAAGTGATGAATAATTAACAGTTTAATTTTAGTCCTGAACGTCCCACAGCTGCAGTAAGAGTCGAGCTGAAGTCTTCATTACTTTAAATTAAAATACTTTACTGTAGCTTCAGGTAAGATACTTTTATACAAGACCGTAATATGCATAAAGTGTACATGAATGCAGACAGTATACATTAATAAACTGAAGTAAAGCTCTTAGAGAAACAGAATACAAACATGACCCAAACATGAGCTACACTTGTATCGTCTAACCACCACTTTCCTGTTTGTCTTGACATGAATTGTAAGTAGTTGTGTTTCATCAGGGCCCAGCTGTCGTATATATCACTGAGAGAGAGAGAGAGAGAAAGAGAGAAGTGAAGTTATTGGATATTAATAGCTACTTTAATATCCAGACCAGTAAAATGACATTTATTAATCTTTTTCTAGCCGGAGTGCATAATAAATGTTTTCACACAGCAGCTGCTGAGCTCTGATCATGTGACACAAATGCTTCTGACAGCTTTGCTTTTAGAGACACGTAACCACAACGCTCAGAAAAGCTTGACCACAGTGATGTTTTCCTAATTCTGTAATTGTGCAGATCTGCAGAAAACTGCTGTTCATGCAGTGCTGTTTTTACATGGCCAATGGTTTGTATGTGTCTGTCAGTCCAGCAGATCAAATCAAATCAAATCACGTTTATTGTCACATGACATTTACACAGGTGGAAAGTGACCCCCTTATAGAATTTAAATACAAAAAATATATAAATATCTAAGAAGAAAAAAAATATATACACTGACTCTGAATATACACATATACACAATATACACTAGTATTGCACTATTCCAATGTACAGTTGTACAGTAATAAGTTATGAAATAAAAAATGTACTGTGGTACACATTTCCGTATGTGCAGTTAGTCTGAGGTAGATAATAAATGAGATGCAGGTCTGCAGGGGATAGAATACTGATATAGAAATCTTCCAGATTATATAAGATATGGATATAAGATACAGATTTGTTAGATTGAAGGTGCAGAGGATCAAAGTGAGGAGATGTGGATGAGGTGTAGATTGTGTAGATATGAGAATATGTGTATTTTATGACCTATGATTTAGTCTCTACACTCGTGTTTCCACACAACTGTGTTAAGTAGCTTTTAAAATGCTCAGTTGAGTGATATATACTAATTTACGTAGAAAAGGGCCATAATGTTAAGAGCTTTAAGTTAGATCTACATAATATTGTTATTGTTGTGCTGCTGAGCTGTCATATACTAAACATGCACTTTCAACCAACAACAGTGTAGTCTAGACAGTTAATCACCGAGTTTAAGAAAGATGTACACAATGATGGGTGGGCCGGGGGAAGATGATAAGAAGAGGAGTGAGTAAAACAAATAAAAGGTTATGCAAATAGATGATGCAGGAGCCAAAGAGAAGGATGTTGAGTTTTACTTAACAGGATTACATTGTTCAAAGAAACTTCTGAACTAAATCCTACATCATTTCTTTAAAACAACACAACTCACTCAGTTTCACTGACTTACAAGATTTTGTTAAGTAAAATCAATGAGTGAAAACTGATTTAGCTCCAACTCAGCACAAAATTCCTGAAAGAGAAAGTCTTTCCTTAAATATATTTGTCATGCGAAAGAAATATGGCCTTATGTAAGTATATGGAGTAAATAGGACAGGATTAATGGAAGAAAGAAAGATAACAGCCTAAGCTGTAAGTACACTGCCTGACCAAAAAAAAATTGCACACTTTAATGTTTCATTAGACCACTATTAGCTTTGATTATGGTGCGCATTCACTGTTGCATTGTTTCAACAACCTTATGCAACATCATAGCATTTATTTCCGTCCAGAGCTGCATGAATATTTGGCTGAGATCTTGAATTAGCGACGAGAGAGTCCAACCACTCGGTTCTCAGCATATCCTAAAGACTTTCAATGGGTTAAAGTCAGGACTCTGTGTGAAAATGATTCCTCATTCTCCCTGAACCACTCTTTCACAGTTGGAGCCCGATGAATCTGGGCATTGTCATCAGGCTGACTTCATTTTATTTCCGTAAAACGTTGCTGATGTTAGACCTATCCAACTGAAGCAATCTCAGTTCATAACACTGCGTTTAGAGGCTTGTACAGTGGGCACTATGCATAATAGGTGTAAAGCTTCATGTGCTTCCCTTCTTGCCCTGATGCACCCATTGCTCTGGAATAGGATGAATCTGGACTCAGCAAATGTATTTTAGGACAAAGAATATCTCTTATGTTACCAGGAGTTCCCAGTCCCAGTCCTGGCACAACACTGAGCACACATTTAGCACCCTAATTCAATTGGTTAACTTATTAACAAGTGCCTCTTTGGCTGGGTAGAGTAGGGCACCCACAAAAATGTGCAGAGCAAAGGGTCACCAGGACTGGGAATGGCAACCCTTCTTTATAACAATCTGGCTTCATGTAGGTGCTGTTTACTTCTAGGAGGACACCCAGTAAATAATTGAGGATTAATGTGAAGAGGAAGCTTAACAGCAATCATTAGGTTATTTTAAAGAGTCCATATCTTTAATTGTTCTGATTTTTTTAATGTGTGATGTTTGTGTAGTATGATGTATCAAAAACAGTCATTATTCATTTCTACATGGCTATTTTCCAACCTCACTTCTGTTCTGATTGGCTGCTCTGTATTGTGACTCATTCAAAAAGCAGTCCAGTCTCACATACTACATCAGGTTTATTTAACAAAATGAGGAAAATTGTTCAATAATGTGGGCACTTAAAATATAACTACTTTACAAAGAGTCATTAATAATAATAATAATAATAATAATAATAATAATAATAACCTTCTGTGAGTAGATTGGGATCATTTTGCTGTTTTTCTTGCAGACATGTAGATCTCTTTCTCCATAGAAACACGACCATCCCAATTAGTGCCACTGCCATGGATATTATTAGAATAATAGGAGAGATGGAAGTTCGAGGAACAGAATCTGCAAAAAATAAGAAATATCCTAAATTCAAATGTATAAACCTAAAATGGACTATTAATTCTGTGTCTTTACCATTAAACTCGATTAGCCTGATACTCTTCACTGGAAATGTAAAAAATGTTTTAAAGATCCCACGACTCACATTTTACTTGCATTTTATTATAACACTTAATATGTAAGTGTCATTTTATCTACTAAAACAGTTGTGATTCATATTTACCTTACCATTTTCAAACCTCTCTTTTGTGTCTTTAGGACTGATAGAGGTACATGAGCTCTGTTCTGATTGGCTGGCTTCAAACAGTGTTGTGCATATTAGTCATTATATAAACTGCAGAAGTTCAGAATCTCAAATTTGCTTTGAATGCTTGTTTATACCAGTCATGTTTCATGTTTTCAAACCCGTCCCCAGCCTTAGAGGGAGGAAGATTTCATTTACACTCATATGCAAAAGTTTGGGCATCTCAATAAAATGACATGTTTTGTTGATTTTCTAAGTGAACATGAGTTAATAACACATCATCTACAAAGACACTTCTGCACAGTTTAATGCACAGTTACTTCCTTTGCTCAATTTAACATGTTGCAAAAAATAACAAAATGTGGTTTGTGCAAAAGTTATGACACATTTCATACTTACTTGAAATAGTGCAAATAAATAGAAATTGTGCATTAAATGTACAGGAAAATAGCATGTATAACTTTGTTCTCTGTACAGGATGTTAGCTTATTTTCATTCAGAAAATCAACAAAACATGTCATTTGACCAAACCTTTTGTTTGTAACTGCATGTTTCTTTGTTTAATTTAGAGCATCTTCCAAAAGCACAGCATTAAAATCCTACGTCATAAGAGACTGAAACACTACCTAAAGCCTACAAAACGTTTTACATACACAATGTTAGTACTCTACTGCAGACTGGTTTCCAGTCACTGTGCAAAATTAATAGAAAGTAGAGTTATAAAAATAAATGTAAGCGTTTAGTTTCATACCTGGGTGATGAAAGCAATACTTTCTGATGTTGACTGTTGTCGTCTGCTTGCTGACTGGGTTGGAAGCCACACAGCTGTAAGTGTCATTGTCAGACCTCACAGTTTCCAGGGGGAGATTCAGTGTGTTGTTTAGACTGGAGCTGTTGATGTGGTTTAATAAGATTTTGCCTTTAAACCAAAACAGATTCAGTCCTCTCACATTCCTCACTGAGCACTGCAATGAACAGAGTTCACTCTCTGACGAACTGTAGTTGAGTTTTATCACATGTGGTGCTGAAACTTTATCTAAAAAAAGAATAAGAAACTTGACATCCAACAAGAATCTGCATGTTCAATATTTCATTTTCTTTAACAAATAATTGAGAAATAGAGAAAGAAATGTTACCATATACATTCAGCTCATAGACTTCTTTCTTATCCTCTTTAGGGTTGTCTACAATATAAACACGTGAGTCATCTGTTCTCAGGTCTGAGAGAGTGAAGAACCCACTCTGACTGTCCCAGTGGAGCCGATTCTTAAACTCTCTGAAATATTCTGTCTGGTTATTGAACACCTGTCCAATGGTTTTGCCCTTATAACCAATACTACCAGATACAGACACTCGAGTAGTGAATGTAATAGACTCTCCTACAGCTCCATTCAGTACTTTCTGAGCTGAAGTGCTGGATACTGACACAAAGATGATTTCTGTACAGACAGATATTGAGAAAGTCAAAGTGAAATTTCTTATTTTACTGCGAAAATATTGTTTGAATCGGAGAACAGTTTTATGATGCTTACAATCTAAACATAGCTGTGTCTGTTTTATGTCTGAATTTGAAAATGCCAGCTATTCTGCCAGCTGAATTTCATAATGAATGGACCAATAGAAATGCTCCGAAATTACTTAGAAAAACTCTTGCTCCATCAACTTCTATTCAGAGTTTTTTATTTTGTATTTTTTCTGCTTCTCTTGAAAAGTTACCATTTCTGAGATACAAGTTTTTGTTATGGCTGCAGTAATATAACTTAGAACCTGACTTAGAACTTAACCTGTTACTCATAAAGTGTTTTTTCTCTTCCTCTAAGCCCTGTCAGTTGTTAACATGACATAAAAGGTGTTTTGAGGCTGTGTGTGTTAATGAGAGCTGAAAGCCACAATCCACACATGTGCTTTAAAAAAAGAAACAGCCTATAAAAATGAGACGACGTTCAAGTTTGATTAATGCAACTTAATCAAATCTGTACTGCTGAATCATGATGTCCTCACAAAATGCAGATTAAATACATTTATGTAATAAAAAAATATCTAAGCATAAAGCTCACATATTGTTTTCTCAATAACAGACTTTCCCATCAGTGCTATTATTTTGGGTTTTTTTTTAATATCTTTGATAACATTCTAGATATCATCACTGTTCAAAAAAAAATCTCCTGGATATCAGATGCTGAAATGCTGAAAAATTACCTGGAATAAAATCTTTTTACATTACCTTACATGAAAGTGAAGTAGGGTTTTTGTTCTGTCCTGTAAAGTTACCACTTTTTTTTTTTGACAGTGAAATGTTATTAGATTAGATTAGATTTAAACTCACCCCATAAACAAATGAAAAGTAGAGTCCATCTTTGATGGTGAAACTTTGCCATCTTCATCATTTAACTATAGTTAGCTATAACTAAAGTGATGATTATATTGTGGGTAAACAAGCACAAAGTCTTAGTCATGAGTTCAGGAAGCTCAGTTATGGACGTGTGTATTGGGGTGGGACTAAAGCTACTTGTGCTCGGTGTGTATGAAAGGGGGCTGTGGTTTTCTGTGGAAAATAACTTAAAACCCCCTATGCAGTTACCTGAGATCTCATACTGTTCTGTTTACTAGTTCAAAGCACTGTTAAACATCAGATTTTCCTCATATTTACTGATAATATTAACACACAGCTGATATACTAACAGTCTGACCTGCATATTAGCTTTTATGGATATGATGACTGTTCTTATTTCTTCTCACAGCCTTTTTTATTGCACCATCTCAGCTCATTGGTTTATTGTCTTGGTCATGATGCTCTAATGATCACATTCACTCAGGACTGTGACTGTAGTTACAAACAGTGCTCCAGTTTTCTTAACAATGAGCCAGAATGCAGTGTTACAATAATGACAATGTCAAGATTGTATAAATGACTTTACTGTCATTTATTTAAACTTACAGTTTGGCTTATCTGTGCATAATTAAGCACTTTACTCCAGTTATTGTGTAGAGTTTATCAGCTCACCTGTTGGTGCTGCATGTTTTCCACTATAAATACAGAAAGTACACACCAAACATTTTACATATTCAGACACTTTGCTCTTTAATGGGGAGTATTGTACATCTTAACATTAGCAAAAGGCAGAGACCACCCATTGTTTATTTCATATCATGTCAAAACATCCACAGTACAAATACACACTAGCAAGACAATACAGCTTGAGTGTAAATGCATGGCAGCTTATTAGATACAGTTATTGATTAGTGTTAATTAGCCATCATTTTCATTTTCCATGATCATAAAGATCACACACACTTTGTTATTATTGATGTTAACTCATTCACTGCAGTAATAATGTGTGTAGTAAGTGTGTGTGGGTGGGCTGATTTGAATTCCTGAATCATACAAATTGAAGATAGTAAACAAAAGACCCTCTGTGTGCTAAAACTAATATTCATGCTAATTATTTGCTATTTTTATTTGTACTATTATTATTATTATTATTATTATTATTATTATTATTTACTGTAAATTGTTTTAAGCATATTTTTAATTTAAGTAATAGCTCAAAGTTAGTGTGAGCATAACGATTATGGAAATATTAAAGTGATGGATAATTAACAGTGTAATGTTAGTCCTGCCGAGCTAGTCGAGCTAAAGTCTTTATATCTTTAGGATAAAGTACTTTACTGTAGCTTCAGGTACAATGAGGTTAAGAATTTTCTGAAAGATGCTTTTATACAAGACCGTAATATGCATAAAATGCAGACAGTATACATAAATAAGTTGAAGTAAAGCTCTCAGAAAAACGGCATACAAACATGACACAAACATGAGCTACACTTGTATCGTTTAACCACCACTTTCCTGTTTGTCTCTAAGCTGTTCTGCTGTGGACGGAGCGCCGTGTGGTTGAGTGTTGAAACAAATTAGCTGTAAAAGTAGCTGTATTTCATCAGGGGCCAGCTGTCATATATATGACTGAGAGAGAGAGAGAGAGAGAGAGAGAGAAAAGAGAGAGAGAGAGAGAGAGAGATTGGCTAAGCATTCGTCATCATCTCATTATTGGATGTTAATAGTTACTTTAATATCCAGACCAGTAAAATGACTTTTATTTGTCTTTTTTCTCATAGTTCATAATAAAAGTATTCACACAGCAGCTGGTGGGCTCTGCTCATGTGTTATAAACGTTTGTCTTGTAACCACAGTGCAGAGAAAAGCTTGACCACAGTGATGTTTTGTGCAAAATGAAGTAGTGCAGGTCTGTGGGAAACTGCTGTAAGTTCTTACATGGAGCAGTTTGAGTGAAAAACATGTACTTATTTTGGTCCGAAGAAAATCCCATTCAATGAAAACCAGATATTTTGGACTGAAATGTTTGTTTTATTCCATCAACTGACTGTATTTAGTTTGAGGTCATAGTTATATATAGTCAAACAGTGTAGTTGCTCTGCTAAAGGTCAGTGACCAGAGAAGTACCTTGTGTGATCAGCTGGTGATCTTTTTGATCTTTTGTGTCTGGCAGACATGCAGATTTCTTTCTCCACAGAAACACAGCCATCCCTATTACTGCCACTGCAGTACATATGATAGGAAAGGTAAGAATGACAGTCCTTTGACGAACCCCATTATCTGGTTTTCTGTCTGCAAAAAAGAAAAATATTCTTAATTCAAATCGACTTAAACTCAATTAGTAGTTCTGTTTCTTTCTCATTGAAAATTCTATGCAGGGAATCTCATATCAAAATACCCTTTAATGTTAAAACCTTTTATACATAGGAATCTACTTTTAATCAATATCCAAACATTTTATTATGAATGTAGTATTGTTGCAATTGAAGCTAAACCTTGTAGCTCCATTTTTGTCATTTTTCATTCTTAGGGGTAATTTGAAAAAACCTGCTGCTCTTTAAATTGCGTTAAAACTTTATGATGAATGGACCAATAGAAGTCTGGTTCCTTCTTCTGTACAGTTACCTTTGTGGAGACATTAGGTTTTGTTTGATGATATATAACAATATATACACACTACTGGAAATAAACAAGAAAACAACATCTTGCTTTCCAGAAAGATACCAGCTCAAATTTTTAAAAATGCAATTTTTTTCAGGCCTAAGTATTTTCTGACTTCTTTGTGTTCAAGCAATCTCCAGCAGATAAAATGTAGAGGCGAATTCTGAATGCCATACTTGATTTGAAAGACTTATAATGAGCATCCATGCCAATCATGGTTTAAGAGACTGAAATCCCCAACCCATCAGACGGAGAGTTAGACTTCTGATTTTCATTAATGTATTTAATGCAGAGCCCCTTCCAAAACAGTAGAGGTAGAGAACGTTGAAATGGTACTTAAACCTAGAGAAAATATTTAGATATACAGCACTTCACTGCTTCTGGTAGATCAGGAGACCGAGTTACACAGAAATATGTACCATATAATCTAGCAACTAGTTTCGTACCTGAGTGGTAAAAGCAGTGCTCTGTAAGGTTGACTGTGGTCGTCTGCTTGCTGGCTGGGTTGGACGCTACACAGCTGAAGATGTCATTGTTTGATGTGATTTCCAGAGGGAGATTCAGTGTGTCATCAAATCTGGAGCTGTTGATGTGGTTTAATAAGACATCACCTTTAAACCAAAACAGATTCAGTCCTCTCACATTCCTCACTGAGCACTGCAATAAACAGAGTTCACTCTCTGCAGAACTAGAGTTGAGTTTTATCACCTGAGGTACAGATACTTTATCTGAAATAACAACAAAGAGATATATTTAAAACTTTCCTTCAATAAAAGAAACTGAAACTTTATAAATAAGTGAAAAACAGTCTTACCGTACATGTTCAGCTGATAGGCTTGTTGTCTCTTCTCCTCTTTAGTGCTCTGTACAGTATAAACACCTGAGTCATCTGTTCTCAGGTCTGAGAGAGTGAAGAACCCACTCTGACTGTCCCAGTGGAGACGATTCTTAAACTCCTCAGTAATGTCTGTCTCAGTCTGTTTATTCAACACCTGTCCAATGGTTCTGCCTCCATACATTATAGTGCCAGATGCAGGAACCCGAGTAGGGAATGTAATAGACTCTCCTACAGCTCCATTCAGCACTTCCTGAGCTGAAGTGCTGGATACTGACACACAGATGGAGATTTCTGCATAGATAGATATTAGGAATATCAGTATGAACACTGGAGGCCTCTGTTTTGAATTAAATATCACTGCATGTAAAATGGTATCAGTTATTTTAAATCAAGTAACAAATATATACCAAATATAAATATACCAAGCTTTTAATATATACTGTGCTGTCTGCACTAACAAGTCTGAGTATAGTTGTGAAATAATAAAGAAACTGCATGCCATAAGTAAGAACGCTGTGACGTGTGCAACACTCAATTCTATGCTTACATATTGTCGCTAATGTGACAACACCTAGTGTTTCCATTTTTGTCTTTTTTTCTCCTAATTTGAAAACACCAGCTGCTCTTTACATTGTTTAATGATGAATGGACCAGTAGGAATCTTCTTACATTACACTGCAATAAAAATTTAGAACGTTTTTTCTCTTTCCTATAATGTTACCGTCTACAGCCCATGTGTCAAACACAATACAGACTTATAACTGAGCTTCCTGAACTCATAACTAAGATACTGTGCTTGTTTACACACAATAGAATCATCAACTATGATTTAATTACAGTGAAATGACAGTGAATGACCATAGAAGATACTAATGAAATTGAATACTTGTATGTTTATTCAGTTACATTTCCAAGTGAAAAACATGCGTTTTATTGCTCACATTTTCATCTAGACCTTCAGAGAACTTGTTGCACTTGCACTTGTACTTTTCTCCATCTAGTGTATCACCATTTAAGTTTCTGCACATTTTCAAATTCATATAAGTGTAAAGTTAAGCTTTCCATAACTCTGCTAATTCATCTATGTGCAAGAACCAGTACTGCCCTTTCACAATCACACTTGTTCCCGTTTTCTGTTCTCCTGACCTCTTATGACATAAAAACATCTCTTGAGCCCAAACGTGTGAATGAAAGCTAACATGAGTGTTAAAAGGAACTGAGCCATAATGGCATCTGTCTGCCTTTAGTTTAAAATAAACAACATTCAGAATAGGCCAGTTTAAACTCACCCCATACACAGATCAGAAGTTGAGTCCATCTTTTACTGTCATTCATTGTCATTTCACTTAAGTTAAATTATAGTTGATAGCTCTATTGTGTGTAAACAAGCACAGTATCTTAGTTAAGAGTTCAGGAAGCTCAGTTATGGAGGTCTACATTGGGGTGGGACTAAAGCGATTTGTGTTCAGTGTTTAAGGGGGCTGTGGTTTTCTGTGGGGAAGAGCAGAAAAATATTTGAACTACTTTTTGAGTTAATGTGAAACTTTTCCTTTAATATGACAGGCAGTTCCATTTTTGCATTTTCAAACATGCTCACTCTGTGAATATGATGGAGTATGGTGGGGTGCATCTCTAGTCCTCTTATTTTGGCTCTGTCATCAAAGGCTGTTCAAATGATAAGGTTGTGGATAAGGATGCAGCTGAGACATTCACACAGTTTTTGAGGATGCTAAAAAATCCTGGCATTTGAAACCAACATGTACAGTGTACATAGTACAGTATGCTGTTTATCTAAACTGATTTAGTGAGTGTAAACTGAATGCAGGGTGAGATGCACCTGCTATCAGTGATCTAAACAGCTTTTAGCTTGCAGGACAGCATTTCATTACAAACACAATGTTTTCCCAACACGTTACATTGTTCACATCAACATTGTGCTTGCCAGCTGACTGATATTCACATCAACAGTATTTCCTCCATCACATTTTGTGCATTACTTTTTTCTGATGACTTGACAAGCCTTGTTAAACTGGCAGGTTTTCTGTGACATGAATTTAGGTCCAAAAACATTTTAAAAGCAATAACCTGTCGTAAAATTATATTTGTGTTCATTTGCATGTTCAAACATATTTTGATATCTGTGTCATTTTTTATGTATATCTGGATAAGTAATCTATTGCCCAGTTTTTTAACCCACACATCTCAAAAAATCCACAGGTTGTGTGTCAGAGTTTACTGTCAAATTTACATATATATATATATATATATATATATATATATATATATATATATCTCTGTGTGTGTGTGTGTGTAGGTGTGTGTGTGTGTGTGTGTGTGTGTGTAAAATTATGGAGACCGTTTAAAGATATTATAAAAGGGAATACTGTCTCCCCCCAGTGTACATCTGTAGTTGTAGCACAGTGGTGGTCTATTAGTAATGTTGATGTATGAACTCATGACTCATGAATAAAGCTGCTTCATTCATTTCATATTGCTATATTTTCTGATATTAATTACAGACTCCAGAATCTCCTGCAGAGAGCTGAGTCTGAGAGCCAGTCTTATTCTATGATGAACCAAAAATGACGTTTCCTCTTCTCTGACAGGGCAGCTGTGTGAATACAGTTACCTTCTCTTACCTGAAGATGGCAGCAGAAACCAGGTAAAGCCATTCAATTCAAGGAATCAAAATGCTTTAAAAGAGATTAAATGGTATTTACTTTCTCATATTCAGTAACACTCAGTTTTGTTTATGTGCATATAATATCTTGGATATTTAATTTGGTGTGTCTACTCTAGAGCTCTACCTAATCAACTGCCATACAGTTAACAGCCATTTTTGGCACTAATGTTTTATTCAGAATCAACTTTTAATTGACTATTTATAGCTTGTGTAAGTCATTCCAGGCTTTACTGGTGTCATCTGGATGTTTTTAGTGTACATTTATTATTTAATTTGCACATAATCTTTAAGCCAAGACTTAACTGTAACCAAACATAACAAGGGCCCTTTGTTAGGTGTTCGTCTCACTTTGTGGATAGGCTTCGGCAAAAGAGAGTAGATTTGTCTCTCAGGTATGAGTGTAAGTGCAGGTCATTGTGAGAACAGGAGTTTAGCTCTATACATACTGTATATTTGTAAATGTTTGCAAATGTGTTTAAATGCAATTTTATGTATCTGTCCTGCTGTCAGAACAGATCATCACTGAAAGACGCACATAGTTCAATTCAGGTTATTAAGTTCATAATGTGTTAACATCTAAGTAGTGCCAACAAGTGTCAATTAAAACTTGCAGTTCACTGTAAAATATGTGGAATTAGGTAGGTAGCTATGTTCTGTACAGGGTGGGCTACAGTACCTTTCATTTGGCAGCATTCAAACATAAAACATCAAACATCAGCTGATCTTGTTGGTTTTCATTAGTTGAATTCAGAGTTTTAGAAGAGGGAAAACTCTAATCTCTGCAGAGCTGCAGCCTCCAGGGCCTGAGTTTGACACAGTTGCTTTTAAGTGAATTAAAAGCCAAGAATTTTTCTTTAAAAGCAAAGAATTTAGAGCATTGCGTTCTAAGCTCTAATATTCATCAAAATGATGTCATGTCCACTAGATGGTGATGCTGGACTTCTTGGAATTCCCCTTTAAGGGTCCTGTAATTGGCATCTTGTCAACACGGTCAACAGTTTCAACTAACAACATATTTCTTTCAAATATAGATCATGTAACAAATTCTAGAAATATTCAGTCAGACAAGAAAGAAAAACTGCAAATCAGCTTCATATGTTGGTCTGATGTTTTTAATGGAAAAGTATAAATGTTTACTGTGGATAACAAAGCGTCAACAATAACATCAGCAAATTCATTGTAATTTGGTCAAATTCCAGTTTTATGTTGATGTACATTTGACATTTAAACCTTGAAGTATTAATTCACTAATGTAACCTAATTATTCATATAACAGAATAAGTAGTTCTCACAATCAAATATTTGAACAATAACAGAACTTAAAAGGCTGCACCCAAACCACATATTACCATACTATACAGTACGCCTGCATCAGTCCTACATCCATGTGTATAGTGTGTATGATATAGTATAGTATCTGATGAGGGTAAACGTTAATATCTGCAGCACTTTGGCCTGAGAGGTCCCCAGTTTGACAAGTCTGATCTGAAGCTTGAAATGTATATGTGAACTCTCCTCTTCAGCTCATCCCATAGTTTTCCAAGGGTTAATGTCTCTATGGAAGGTGAAGAATTGCCTAACAATGCAGTGGAAATGCTTGTATGCTAAAATGGGAGCTAATGCCTTGTTATCATTTTGTGGTGTCATGTGCTTTTTTATGGCTTAGATCAATTAAGACTCAGTTCAGATCAGGAGAGCCCAAAGCCCAAAATGAGAGGAAAGATACACTAGAGGTCTGTATGGTCATGAGGCTGAAGTCTCTGAAGCCCAAACCGTTTCCACAACCTTGAGACCAGTTTAGAAATTGTGCGCTAAAGTTTGCAGAGAAATGTGAGATTTAAGAGTGTTCTCTGTAGTTTATGTTGTGTTTGTTTCTATATGAGTAGTAAATGGAAAATAGTTACACACTATCCCTCTAGAGAGTGATAACATTCTGAACATGATGCTGCAGTTAAAAGTCAAACTTTGAGGTCTTTCTCCAGTTTAATGTAGCATAAAATCCATTCAGCATTCTTAAAAATGTAATAGCTTGTACATAAACCACAATTTTCCATAATGGTATTATAGTGTGGATATTTTAAAAGCATATTGAAAACATAATTGAAGTAGGTTCAGTGTAAAATCTACAGTGTACATATAGAAGAACACCACTTTCCTGTTTGTCTAATCCTTCTTGCTGTTGGATGAAGGGGATGGAGGCCCCTGCTTTATGTGGCTGAATCTCTTGATGTAATTATGTTACCTCATTAGGAACCAGTTGTCGAATAAATCACTGTGTGAGAGAAAGAGAGAGAGAGAGAGAGAGAGAGAGAGAGAGAGAGAAAGAGAAAGAGAGGCAGTGCAGTTAGTGGTTAACGCTCCTGTTATATTTAAATTTACTAACATCTTTTTTGTTCCTGTGTACCTCCCATATGTGGTGTGAACCTTTACTGGTTCTAGCACTACTACAGCTATGGTGATTTTAGGGCCTTAAAGAAGTGAGACAGTTTTTGAAGATTATAAATTTACATGTTATAATGATCTCAATATCATCTAAAACAACCAAAATAAATGTGTGTAAAATGTTGATATTTCTTATTTCTTCTTTATAGAGCTAAAATGTGTACCAGACAGTAAAAACATGTTAATTTTATGTTTACTGAGTTTCCCCAGTAAATTAGGAAAAGAGAGATGTTGAACATTGAACGGAGTCAAATTGTTCCCAAAATTAATAGGAAGGATAAGCATTATTTTCTAGCAGTTCATAATAGAAGCATTCATGCAGCAGATGATGAGTACTAGACACACTCTTCTCACTATTCTATGCATGTGTCTGACAGCTTTTGGACACGTGTAACCACAGTGTGCAGAAACAGCTTGACCACAGTGATGTTTTGTAGTGTATGAAATAGTGCAGGTCTGCGGGAAACTGTTCACACTGTGGTGTCTTTATACAGCTAACACTTTATACAGTTGCAGCAGATGTGACAGAGTTTACAGTCATGTTTGAAGACTCTTGGTCAAATTACATTTTTTTGTTTTCAAATCCTCTGCAGGAAGCAAGTATTGCTCCTGTCCAAAAAAACATGCATCTCCATTTTTGTTGATGTTTATTTTCTCCAGCACTTGAACACATCAGCTGCCTTTTACATCAGTGAAAATGTCTTGGTGAATAGACCAAGAGATACACTCAAAAATACTTGGAATAAATGTATTTACTCTTACATTGTATGAACATTTCATGATGAATGGACCAATAGAAATGGTCCAAAATTACATTAAAATCTTACCTTGACATACAATTACATTACATTAATCTTATGTAACATTGAAGCTAATAACATACTTTTCTTCTACGTTTCAGAGATATAAGGTTTTGTTACAACATAAAGTATTCTAGGTCAAAATATATCTGTTATGTTTTAAGCCAGGAGTTCCCACTTCCAGTCCTGACGCAACACTTAGCACAATTTTGAGCTCTGTCTCATGAAGCACCCCTAAGCATTCAGCTGGTTAACTCATTAACATGCACCTCATTGGCTGGGTAGAGTAGGGAAACCACAAAAATGTACAGAGCAAACGGTCACCAGGACTGAGATTGGGAACCCCTCTTTAGGCAGTTTGGCCTCTTGTAGCTTCTGTTTACTTCCAGTGGGAGATGCAGTAAATAATTGAGAATTAATGTGAAGAGGTAGCTTAACAGCAATCATTGGGTTATTTTAAAGAGTCCATATCTTACAAAATCAGGAAAAATGTTCCAACCTTCTGTTCTGATTGGCTGCTCTGTAATGTGCCTCATTCAAAAAGCAATCCAGACTGAAACCCCCCTCATAACTTAGGCTAAATAGGCAGATACTGTATATAAAAATGTGTTTTTATGACATCACAAAAAGTGAATTCACAATGGGCAGCTCTTTTTCCATATATGCTCAGTATGGACTGGTCAGTGGTACATTTTGAAATTTGAGCTGCTCACATACTACATCACACTCTTACTTAACAAAATGAGAAAAATTGTTCGATGATACCGGCCTTTAAATATAACTGCTTTACAAAGAATAATTATAATACTACTACTACTACTACTACTACTACTACTACTACTAATAATAATAATAATAATAATACCTTCTGTGAGTAGATCAAGATCAGTTTGCTGTTTTTCTTGCAGACATGTAGATTTCTTTCTCCGTACAAACACAATCATCCCGAATATCCACTGCCGTGCATATTATTATAGTAAAGATGTGAGTTCGAGAAACAGAACCTGAGTCCACACCTGCAAAAAAGAGAAATATCCTGAATTCAAATATATGTATATACCTCAAATTAACTATTAATTCTGTGCCTTTATCGTTAAACCCTATTAGCCTGATACTCCTTACTGCAAATGTAAAAAAATGTTTTAAAGATCCTATAACCAAATTTTTCTTGCATTTTATTATAACACACATTCGTTTTATGAACTAAAAGTCATAATTCAGATTTACATGTCCAACATCTCTTTACCCCTTAAACAGTCTGTTTGTGCCTTTAGGACTGATAGATATACATGAGCTCTGTTCTGATTGGCTGGCTTCATTGAATAAACAGTCTGAGCTGAAACATTCATACGAACGTCAGTATGAACGGCAGGGCTAAACTGCTGTAAGCTGAATTGGGAGATATATGCAGATGTGCTGCTTTTTGTGATGTCACAAAAACAGTGAATTCAAAACAGGCAGCTTAGTTTCCCTACATGGGCTGCACATTTTGAGGCACTATTTCTGTTTATTTACTGAATTTACAATATTAAAAAATAACACAAAGTGTGGCCTGTGTAAAAGTTCTAGCTTATATCTTCTGTTGGTAAATAAATAGAAATTGTGCACTAAACTGTTTGCAGGAAAATGCTATATTTAAGTGTGTTTTCTGTAGAGGATGTTTTAACTTATTTTCACTTAGAAAATCTACTAAACATGTCATTTGACCAAACTTTTGTATATATTTCTTCCAAAACCACAGCATTAAAGTCATAAGAGACATATGTGAAATACTACCTAAAGCCTACAAAATGTCTTGTATACACAACAGTAGTACTCTACAGCAGACTGGTTACCAATCATTGTACAAAATGAAGAGAAATTAGAGTTATGTAAATAAGCATAAGTGTCTACTTTCATACCTGGTTTATGATGGCAGAGCTCTGTAATATGAACTGTGGTTGTCTGGTTGCTGACTGGGTTGGTAGCCATGCAGCTGTAGGGATCATTGTCAAACTTCTCTATTTCCAGAAGGAGATTCAGTGTGTTGTTTAGACTGGAACTGTTCGTGTGGTTTAATAAGCTTTTGCCTTTAAACCAAAACAGATTCAGTCCTCTCACATTCCTCACTGAGCACTGCAATGAGCAGAGGTCACTCTCTGCAGAACTGGAGTTGTGTTTTATCACCTGAGGTGCTGATACTTTATCTGGGAAAAAAAGGTTAAAACTTAAAACAAGACACAAGAATCTGCATGATTACTACTCTTCAGTGATTCATTTCATAATTATGAAATGAACAAGCTTACCGTACACGTTCAGCTGATAGGCTTGTTTGCTCTTCACCTCTTTAGTACTCTCTACAATATAAACACCTGAATCATCTGTTCTCAGGTCTGAGAGAGTGAAGAACCCACTCTGACTGTCCCAGTGGAGACGATTCTTAAACTCCTCAGTAATGCCTGTCTCAGTCTGTTTATTGAACACCTGTCCAATGGTTCTGCCTTCATAAAGTATAGCACCAGTTACAGGAACCAGAGTAGGGAATGTAAGAGACTTTCCTACAGCTCCATTCAGTACCTCCTCTGGAGCTGAAGTGCTGGATACTGACACAGAGATGAAGATTTCTGCAAAGAAATTAAATACTGATATTACTGATAGTGGGTATCATTTACAATTTCAATAAATGTTTTTGAAATAAATAGTAAGCTACTAATCCCCACTAAGAAACTCAGACAAGTGACAGGCTGTCTGTAACTTCAAAAAGATCCAGAATGCCTGAATGCATATATTCTACTCCATGGTCATGAATACACAAAGGCATGTTCAGATACCTCACACAGTTAAATGATGCCAGTCATTTTACATGATCTCCAAATTTAGACATTTTCAACACTTTTCACATTACCTGATGTCTGTAAAGTCTGTACCACTCTGTTTATTGAACACCTGTCCAATAACTTCCTTCATAACGTATAGTTCCATATGCAGGAACCCAAGTAGGGAATATAATAGACTCTCCTACAGCTCTTTTCAGTACCACCTCCTGAGCTGAAGTGCTGGATACTGACACACAGCTGAAGATTTCTGTACAGCCCCATATTAAAAAAGTCAATGCTAATTTTCTTTTTTTACAGCAAAAATATTGTTTGAATCAGAGTACAGTTTTATGATGCTTACAATCTAAACAAAGCTGTCTTTATTTTATGTCTGAACTTGAAAATGCTAGCTGTTCTGCCAGCTGAATTTCATGATGAATGAAAAAACTCTTTCTCCATCAACTCCCATTCAGAGTTTTTACTTAGAACCTGACTTAGAACTTAACCTGTTATTTCTAAAGTGTTTTTTCTCTTCTTCTAAGCCCTGTCAGTTGTTAACATGACATTAAAGGTGTCTTGAGGCCGTGTGTGTGAATGAGAGCTGAAAGCTACAATCCACACACGTGCTTTAGAAAAAGAAACAAGCTATAAAAACGAGATGATGTTCAAGTTTGATTAATGCAACTCCAAATCTGTACTGCAGATTAAATATTTATGTAATAAAAAAATATCTAAGCATAAAGCTCACATATTGTTTTCTCAATAACATAGACTTTCCCATCAGTGCTATTATTTTGTTTTTATTAAAAAATATCTTTGATAACATTCTAGATATCATCACTGTTCAAAAACCCATGGATATCGGACCAATAGAAATGCTGAATAATTGCTTGGAATAAAATCTTTTTACCTTACATTAAAGTGAAGAAGGTATTTGTTCTGTCCTGTAAAGTTACCACTTTGGAGTTAGTGGTGGAGTTTTTTTGACAGTGATATGTTAATATATTTTATTAGATTAGATTAGATTAGATTTAAACTCACCCCATAAACAAATGTAAAGCAGAGTCCATCTTTGATGGTGAAACTTTGCCGTCTTCATCATTTAACTATAGGTTTATTATAGTTGATGATTATTTTGTGTGTAAACAAGCGCAGAGTCTTAGTCATGAGTTCAGGAAGCTCAGTTACAGATGTCTGTATTGGGGTGGGACTAAAGCTATTTGTGTTCAGTGTGTATGAAAAGGGGGCTGTGGTTTTCTGTGGAAAATAACACAAAACTCCCTACACGATTACCTAAGATCTCATAAGGTTCCATTTACTAGTTCAAATCACTGTTAAACATCAGATTTTGTTTCATATTTACAGATAATATTGACACACAGCTGATGTACTAACAGAGTGACCTGCATATTAGCTTTAATGGATATGATGATAGTTCTTATTTCTTCTCACAGCCTTTTTATCGAACCATCTCAGCTGGTGCTAGATGCTCTAATGATCACATTCTAGAGTCAAACTAGGGACCACATTCACTTTTACTCAGTACTGTGACTGTAGTTACAAAGAGTGCACCAGTTTTCTTCCCAATAAGCCAGAATACAGTGTTACAGTAATGACAGTGTCAGGATTGTATAAATGACTTTACTGTCATATACAGTTTGGCTTATCTGTGCATAATTAATCACTTTACTCCAGTTATTGTGTAGAGTTTATCACCTCACCTGTTGGTGCTGCATGTTTTCCACTATAAATACAGGAAGTACAGACCAAACATTTAACATATTCAGACACTTTGCTCTTTACGGGCTGTGTTGTACACATTGACACTGGCCAAATTCAGAGACCACCCTCTGTTTATTTCATATCATGTCAAAACATCCACAGTACAGATACACACTAACAATACAACTTCAGCATATATGCATAGCAGATTATTAGATACAGCTAATAATTAGTGTTAATTAGCCATCATTTTCATTTTCCATGATCATAAAAATCAAACAAACTTTATTATTCATACTAAACCATTCACCTGAATAATAATGTGTGTAGTAAGTGTGTGTGGGTGGGCTGATTTGAATTCCTGAATCATACAGATAGTAATACATGAAGATAGTAAATAAAAACCATTCTGTGTGCTAAAACTTATATTTATGCTAATTATTTGCTATATTTTATTTGTATTATTATTGTTTACTATAAATTATGTTTTAAGCATATTTTTCATTTAAGTAATAGCTCAAAGTTAGTGTGATCATAACGATTATGGAAATATTAAAGTGATGGATAATTAACAGTGTAATGTTAGTCCTGCAGAGCTAGTCATGCTAAAGTCTTTATATCTTTAGAATAAAGTACTTTACTGTAGCTTCAGATACAATGAGGTTAAATTTTCTTAAAGATGCTTTTGTGCATGTATCAAATGTAGATAAATGCAGACAGTATACATAAATCAACTGAAGTAAAGCTCTTAGAGAAACATGATACAAAAATGCTACACTTGTATCGTTTAACCACCACCTTCCTGTTTGTCTCTAAGCTGTTCTGCTGTGGACGGAGCGTCGTGTGGTTGAGTCTTGAGTAGCTGTCAGGGGCCAGCTGTCATATATATCACTGAGAGAGAGAGAGAGAGAGATATTGGCTATGCATTCATCATCTCATTATTGGATTTTAATAGTTACTTTAATATTCAGACCAGTAAAATGACTTTTATTCGTGTTTTCTCGTAGTTCATAATAAAAGTATTCATACAGCAGCTGGTGGGCTCTGCTCATGTGTTTTAAACATTAGTCACGTAACCAGAGAAAAGCTTGACCACAGTAATGTTTTGTGCAACATGAAGTACTTATTTTGGTCCAAAGAAAATCCCATTCAATGAAAACCAAATATTTTATACTGAGATGTTTCGGTTTTGTTCCATCAACTGACTGTATTTGGTTTGAGGTCACAGTTCTATATCCTCAAACAGTGTAGTTACTCTGCTAAAAGTCAGTGACCAGAGAATTACCTTGTGAGAGTAGCTGTTGATTTTTTTGCTCTTTTGTTTCTGGCAGACATGCAGATTTCTTTCTCCACAGAAACACAGCCACTGCTATCACTGCCACTGCAGCACATATGATAGCAAAGATAGGAATGACAGTCTTTGTCGAACCCTATTGTCTGATTCTGTGTTTGCAAAAAAGAAAAATATTCTTAATTCAAATACTTAAACTCAATTAGTAGTTCTCTGTCTTTCTCATTGAAAATTCTACAATCATATCAAAATACCCTTTAATGTCCAACACACGTAATGTTACACATAGGAATCTGCTTTTAATCAATATCCTAACATTTTTGTATGAATGTAGTATTTTTCATTTTTAGAGGTCATTGGAAAAGACCTGCTTCTCTTTAAATTGTGTTATAACTTTATGATGAATGGACCAATAGAATTTACAGTTCTTTTACAATTTACAATTGAATTCCCATTCAAAATTTACAAGGCTTTTTTTCCTTTGTTCTTTACCTTTGTGGAGACATTAGGTTTTGTCTGATATACGACAATGTGTGTATATATATATATATATATATATATATATATATATATATATATATATATATATATATATATATATACATACAGATAAAATGTAGAGGTGAATTCTGAATTTCATACTTGATTTGAAGGGCTTAAAATGAGCATCCATGCCAATCATGTTTTAAGAGACTGAAATCCCCAACCCATCAGGCAGAGACTTAGACTTCTGATTTACATATGTACGTATTTAATTCAGAGCTCCTTCCAAAATAATAGAGGTAGAGAACTTTGAAATGATACTTAAAACCTAGAGAAAGTACTTAGATATACAGCACTTCACTGCTACTAGTAGATCCCTATCAGGAGAGAGAAGAGTTACACAGAAATATATACCATATAATCTAGCAACTAGTTTCGTACCTGAGTGATAAAAGCAGTGCTCTGTAAGGTTGACTGTGGTCGTCTGCTTACTGGCTGGGTTGGACGCTACACAGCTGAAGATGTCATTGTTTGATGTGATTTTCAGAGGGAGATTCAGTGTGTCATCAAATCTGGAGCTGTTGATGTGATTTAATAAGACATCACCTTTAAACCAAGAGAGATTCAGTCCTCTCACATTCCTCACTGAGCACTGCAATAAACAGAGTTCACTCTCTGCAGGACTGGAGTTGAGTTTTATCACCTGAGGTACAGATACTTTATCTGAAATAACAACAAAAATATATGTTTACAACTTTTCCCTATAACAAAAGAAACTGAAACTTTATAAATAAGTGAAAAACTTACCGTACACATTCAGCTGATAGGCTTGTTGACTCTTCTCCTCTTTAGTGCTCTCTACAGTATAAACACCTGAATCATCTGTTCTCAGGTCTGAGAGAGTGAAGAACCCACTCTGACTGTCCCAGTGGAGACGATTCTTAAACTCCTCAGTAATGTCTGTCTCAGTCTGTTTATTGAACACCTGTCCAATGACACTGCCACCATACATTATAGAACCAGATGCAGGAACCCGAGTAGGGAATGTAATAGACTCTCCTACAGCTCTATTCAGTACCTCCTCCAGAGCTGAAGCGCTGGATACTGACACACAGATGGAGATTTCTGTACGGAGAGATATTAAGAGTATCCGTATGAAAACTGAAGGCCTCTATTGTAAATTAAAAATCACTACAAGTAAAATGGTATCAATTATTTTAAATCACGTGACAAATGTAACCGCCTTTTAATATATACGACGTGCTGTCCGCACTAACAAGTCTGAGTATAGTTATGAGATAATAGAGCATCAGACAAAACTACTGTTTTTTGATTTCACACTTTTTCACAAGAATCCTGGAATTTTAGACTTATCTGCATGTCATGAGTCTGAACACTGTGAAGTTAAAAGCAGTAGGTGTAATGTTCAATTCTACACTTACGTATCGTCACTAATGTGACAACACCTAGTGTTTCCATTTTTGTCTTTTTTTTTCTCCTAATTTGAAAACACCAGCAGCTCTTACATTGTTTAATGATGAATGGACTAGTAGTAATCTTTTTACATAACCTTGCATTAAAAATGCATAATGTTTTACCATCTACATTGATGATATGCTGTCCGTTACCTTTTCTGTAAGTCTTTTACTGTTAACTGATAACTGTTTTTTTTTCTTCACCCAGTTATTTTTTTTATCTTTGACTCATGTAAATGTTTGCTCTGTACAGTTATGCTCCAAGGCCATACTTAATTACAAATGGTAATATTATTTTATTACTTTTGAATATGCAGAAAAAGAACGATTTTTGCTCCAATATAGTTTTATTCCTGCTGTACATTATTTGCTACATTCCATAAAATCTGTTTACCATTTTTCACCCTGAGCACTTGTACAGAGAAAGTGACCCGGGGTGGAATATACTTGAGTAATTGTGTTTTGTTTCTATAATTAAGTATTATTTTTGGAAGATTTGTACCTTACTCGCATATTATTGAAATTAAATATGTTTACTCCATTATCAGCGTAAAATGAAGCTGCCCATAACTTTGCTAATTCATCTTTGTGCAAGAACCAGTACTGCCCTTTCACAATCACAGTTTTTCCCATTTTCTGTTCTCCTGATCTCTTTTGAAATAAAAACACCTCTTGAGCCCAAATGTGTGAACAAAAGCTAACACGAGAGCTAAAAGGAACTAAGCCATAATGGCATCTATCTGCCTTTAGTTAAAAATAAACAACATTCAGAATAGGCCAGTTTAAACTCACCCCATGCACAGATCATAAGTAGAGTCCATCTTTTACGGTCATTCATTGTCATTTCACTTAAATTATAGTTGATAGCTCTATTGTGTGTAAACAAGCACAGTATCTTAGTTCAGGAAGCTCAATGGAGGTCTGCATTGGGGTGGGACTAAAGCTATTTGTGTTCAGTGTTTAAGGGGGCCAGTGGTTTTCTGTGGAAGAGAGCAGAACCATATTTGAACTACTTTTTTGAGTTCCTTTTCTTGCATTTTCAAACATTCTCACTCTATGAATATGATCATTTTGCTTACCAGCTGACTAATACTGACATCAGCTGTATTTCCTCCATCACATTTTGTGAATTACCTTTTTCTGATGATGTGACAAGCCTTGGTAAACTGGCAGGTTTTCTATGACATGAATTCAGGTCCAAAAACTTTTTGAAAGCAATAACCTGTCATAAAATTACATGTTCATGTGCATGTTTAAACATGTTTAGATATCATTTGATACCCCTTCACACATACAAATATCACATAGATGCCATGTTATATGTATATTTGGATAAGTAATCAATTCCCCAGTTTTAACCCTCACATCCCAAAGAATCCATAGGCTCTGTGTCAGTTTACTGTAAAATTATATACTGTTTAAAGTAAAACTATAGACTGTTTAAAGATATTATAAACAGGAATACTGTCTCCCCCCAGTGTGCATCTGTAGTTGTAGCACAGTGGTGGTCTATTAGTAATGTTGATGTATGAACTAATGAATAAAGCTTCTTCATTCATTTCATATTGCTATATTTTCTGACATTAATTACGGACTCCAGAATCTCCTGAAGAGAGCTGAGTCTAAGAGCCAGTCTTGTTCTATGATTAACCAAAAATGACTTTTCCTCTTCTCAGACAGGGCAGCTGTGTGAATACAGTTACCTACTCTTACCTGAAGATGGCAGCAGAAGCCAGGTAAAGCCATTCAATTCAAGGAATGAAAATGCTTAAAGTTAAAAGAGATTAAAATAATATTTACTTTTTCATATTCAGTAACATTTAGTTCTGTTTATTTATGTGCATATCATTTCTCAGATGTTTTGTTTTGGTGTAGCTACTCTAGAGTTGTACCCAGTCAACCATTAACATACATTTTTGGTGCTAGTGTTTTATTCAGAAATCAGTTAACTTTTAAATGAGTTTATGTAGCTTATCTGGATGTTTTATTTTATTTATAATTGAATTTGTACACTTTAAACCAACACTTACAATTGTAACCAAGCATAACAAGGGCTCTTTGTTAGTTTAGCTCTGGATTTGGATATATTACACACACACACACACACACACACACACACACATATATATATATATATATATCCTTTTTTCTTTTTTTTAAGAATTAGAAAATGAGAGGGAGTGTTTTATCACAAAACAACATCATGTGATATGAAATAAATAAAGTAATTAATACATTTAATACATTTAATTAATACATTTAATATGTATTAATGTTAGCAGTTACACACATACACACACACATCTTCTAAGCCGCTTCTCCTTCCGGGTGTGCTGGAGCCTATCCCAGTGGTCATTGGGCAGAAGGCAGGATACACCCTGGACAGGTCGCCAGTCCATCACAGGGCTGTTAGCAGTTCCTTCTGCCAAATTATAGTTCCTTAACAAGCAGCTTGTTGCTATGTCAGAGTAACGAACTCCGCTCATTCACTGCACAGCTAACAGTTCATATTCCAGCTCCTTACGCTAAATACTGAAACTGTCATCACCACTGAGCAAGCTTTTCAGTCGGCAGTTGTGACAGATGAACACCTAAACAACCTGGAATCAGCCACAAATTAACCGAATACCATTTGCCAAATGTGTAGTCTCGTCTTCAGAGTCTGACCAAATTGGACTGAGACATAAAACTGCCACAATATCAAGTTTAGCTCAATTTTGTCAATTTTTGCTAGATCAATATTAAAGTTGTTTTGTTCCAACCAGTCTACAAAACATCTTACAGCCCATTTCGTTTGACACAGTTGCTTTAAAATGATTCTTAAGCCAAGGTTTCTTTCAAAGCAAAGACTCTACAACTCTGATATACATGTGTACCACTACTTATAATTATTTAATGAAGTGTACTTATTTAAAAAAAATAATAATAAAAAAAAATATATATATATACATATATATATATATATATATATATATATATATATATATATATAAAATTTATTTAATAAATATGTTTATAGTAAATATAGTAAGTAAATGTTTTGTTGAATGGAAAGGGTTAATTTAGCATTATTATTTGGGTATCAGGTGCAGAATAAACAAACAAACAGGTTTTCAGATTTTGCTATATTTATATAAACAGCGTATATGATAGAGACTGCTAGAGTGAGATTTTAGATTTTAATGCACTTTTTGCCTTTTCAGTGTCACTCAGTCGTTGCATTCTGAACTCTCACATACAAAATGGTGTCATGTCCACTAGATGGCGATGCTGGGTTAGAGGGGAATTCCACCAGCTATTCAAATGGTTTAGATCAGTGTTTCTTAACCCTGGTCCTGGAGGCCCACTGCTCCGCACATTTTCGTGTTTTCCCTGATCCTAACACACCTTATTCAACTAATCAGCTCATTAACAAACGCTCACTAAATTAAAGTGGCCGTATTCTAGCAAGGAACACAATAAAATGTGCAGTACAGTGGGCCTCCAGGACCAGGGTTGAGAAACACTGGCTTAGATCATTCAATGTGAAATACTAGACAAACTGGTGATAGGTACCAAATTTAGCCACTGTATTTTCTGTCCACCTACATGTACCAACTTGTGTCTTCCTAATTTTATATGTAAACTTTTCTTTCAAATACAGATCATGTAACAAATTCTAGAAATGTTCAGTCAGACAAGAAAGAAAAACTACAAATCAACATCATATTTTGGTCTTTAATAGGGATAACAATGAATAACAAAACAGTGCTACAGTGCTCCATTCAGATATTGAACATATTCTTCAGTACCTGTTTAAATGTTACTATTGTCTCCAGTGCTAGAATGAGGTGTAATTCACAAAGCAAGTTTACAATTTCTGGCCTAAATATTTGTTAGATGACATGTGTAGCCTACATTGGTATCAGAGTCGGGGTTCACATTTTAAAGAAGAATTATTGCTTGGTCTTAATGACATAGTCTTCAAGAAAGGCCATCAAACTCCATACAATTTGGTCAAATCTCAGTTTTATGTTGATGTATATTTGACATTTAAAACTTGAAGGATTAATTCAACCAATGTATCATAATTATTAATGTAATAGTAACATAAAACATTAAAAAAGTTACAAAATAGAAATAAATGTACAATGGGGTAGGATTATCCCTGGATACAGTGGTGCAGTGAATTCAGTGAACTAGGCTGGTGAACAAAATGGATTTGAAGAACAAAGCAGGACTCGAGCAGTAGGAAAAGACTATAAACCAAATATAAGAAAACAAATATAAGCACTCGAGTGAACATGCAGGATATAACCACAAGAGCGAATAGCGAATAGTCACATATTTGAACAATAACAGCAGGGTTTAAAACACAAAAAAGGCTGCACCCAAAACCGCATACTACTATACTATACAGTACATCTGCATTAGTAGTACATACTTGTGTACAGTATGTATGATATAGAATAGTATGTGGTTTTGGATGCAGCTTAAGTGTATAAAACCTCTGAGTTTACAGCAGGTGTTATATTTATCCAAGCTGATCGATTTATGTGTTTATGAGTTTAGCCTGGTTCCCACCTTTCCACAGGCATGTTCCGTTTACAAAGAGGAACTGAAATAACAACATCCTGATTGTTCTCCCCTCGTCCGTCTCGTATCCAAACCACATCAGATAAAAGAACAGCTGCACCCTGGGGTGTAAATGCCATTTGCATACAGGTGTGAGACTAGCAAGACACTGGGAGCTCTTTGAAGGTCACAGTTTTGTAAGAATAATGAAATGTTCTGGGACATTTTCTAACTGAAATGTGCTTTGGAGCAGTTGAGTGATTACTTCAGTATGTTATTTGCATTAAACAAATTCAGAGCCCTTGCCATGAACTTCTCAGTTGCAAATTGTGCTTTTTGCATCAGAACTTCAAAACACCGAAAGCTGTGCATGAACTCTCATCCTTCATTAATAATAATAATAATACAAAGTCTTTCAGCTGATATTAAAAGTTTGCAAAGGGTTTAAAAAGGCGTTATATGTGTTGAGTGAAATGGAAGAGTGACTGATTAGTAGCCAACAGAAATGCAGTGCATCTATATATTATACATATCTAAGTTGCAGCTGGATGAATTCAGCAAATACATTAGCAAGACAGTGTAAGTCAAAAAAAAAAAACATTGAATAAAATAAACATTCTTAAATTAGTGCATATTTATATACATTTTCACTTGGAGGCAACAGGAGACAACAGTCTCTAATTCAAATTTCTAGACATGGTTAAAGTTAATATACAGAACAAGTTCAAAATAGTATTATAAAATATTCTGTAATTAATGTTAACCTACTCTAGTAATAATGAGGTGCCCAAAAGGGTTCTCAGTGTGATGCCATTAAAGCTATTGAAGAACCACTTTCCATGCCCTAGAAAACCTTTCTAGCGTCTTCCACTTCAAGAAGCAGAGGTATCTTCAGAGAACCTTTTTTGTAAATGAGATATCATCACTGTCAAAAAAATAAAATAAAAAAAATACAGAAATCTCTTTTTTTATTGTAGGTAATTTGAACACAGCAGCCTTTACATTGTATTAAACTTCACATTGAATGGACAAATAGAAATGACTCAAAGTGTATAGATGTATAAATAGATATAGATATATTGCTGCAGTCAGAACAAAACCTTGTATCCCCAAAATGGTAACTTTAGAGGAGAATGAAAAAACATACTTTAATTTCAATGTAAATCAATGGAACCAGACTTTTTTCCAAGTATATTTTGGCCATGTCTGTTGGTCCATTCTTCATGAAATTCACACACAGTGTAAAAGGCAACAGGTGCTATCAAATTATACAACATTATGCGCATTACAATAGGTTATATAACTACATTATACACATTATGCAGCAGTGCATGGTGGGGATTGTGGTTCAGCGTGTTGGGAAACAGGCTAATATTAATAGAAAATGAAAATAATTTTGCGGGCCGGATAGGATTATGCAATGGGCCTGATCTGGTGTTTGACACGTGTTCTATGGCATCAGACAAAGAACTCTGTGGCACCTTTTTTTTTTTAAAGGGAATCATGACTGTGAAGACACCTCAATCAAAGTACATGTGCAGTGAGCTAAATATCTAATTTAATTAATAGATGATTCATCCTTTCCAACTTAACGAGAGCATTACATTACCCAGCAGAGGTTTTTTGGATTGTCTTATTTTCTATAGGACTGAGTCCAGTCCAATAGAGGGATTAGCATATTTGTCATGTTTTTTTTAATAAACAGAACATTTGCATTTGGTTTATAAACTCACCTTGACAAAAAATCACCTGTAACTGAAACGTACCTAATAGCGTGTAATACCCCCACAAGCAAGAATAACAGCTGCGATTCGATTTAGCATGGACTGGACAAGTTTCTCGATGTAGGTAACATCAATGCTCAGCCATTCTTTCATCAAAGAATTGCGCAGTTCGGCCAGATTTAGTGGACGCCTTCCCTGTTCCAGGTAGTCCCACAGATTTAAAGGGAGGATTTAAATCTGGGGGTTTTGTGGGCCAGTCCAGTTCTTGCCTGGAAGCGACGTGATTTTTATTCACAAGCCGTGAAACATGCCAGCAGTTCCTGTCAGTTTTGTCTTTTGCCACAATTCTGACAAGAATTTGGACTGGGATTTTTGCCACTGCTGGTCAACCAGTATGATAGTACGCTTCAATACACCTACACATTCAGCTACTTCCTTCACACTATGGCCTTTGACACACCCAAATCCTTTTTGCCAATCATGAACATCTGCTTTGCGATCCATTTTCCACACATCAAATGAGACCTTCACTGCACCGTACCACCTCTTCTCAATCTATGAATCCCATCGCACATCCCGCAGGTATTTATAGCCTGATCATCCTTGTGCAACGTCATCTGCAGGAGCCTGAAGTTACTACCACCTTAAGCATGCAAGGTGATATTTTTTGTCCAGGGGGCTTATATCATATTTTAATAGTATTAGACACATACACCTCCATACACTAGTCTTAACAGTCAGGGTTCTCTTTAAGAGTGTAGGTGTGATAGGTTTGCCTCTTTAAGTGCCAAAAGTCTATGGTAGTATTGACAGGAACCCAGTTAAATTAATTTCATTACACAGTAAGAATGACTTTCTTTATCAACATGTGAATGTCCTGAGCACTGTGCATGTCACAAAAATTTCATGCACAAAATTTCTTCTCATAAACACTCTGATGACCACTTTCCTGTTTGTGTCTAAGCGGATCCGCTCTGGACGGAAGCCCCTGGATCAAGCGGACGAATCTGGTCATAAATTGTAGTTAGCTGACAGGTTTCCTTTGAGGCAGGTTCGCATATGTTTGTCTAGTCAAGAGAGAGACAGAGGGAGAGAGAATAAGTGCATTTATCTGAGGATACACTCATTTCTGTTACTGGATACTGTTAGACTCAGTAAAGGGATATTAGGGACTTTCCTACTGTGCCTTTGTGTAGCCTATTTAAATTGTGACTTTCTTCTTGGTCTAGTACAGTACAAAAGAGCTCACAAAGAAGGCCATTCAGGCCAGACTTTGCACGCATGCTGCATGTCCGTTTAGCGGCTTTTAGAGAGATTTTAACCACAGCGTACTGAAGAAGACTAACCACAGTGCAGTTCTGCAAGACATGAAACTATACAGGCTCGTGGGAAAGAGCTCTACGTGCACACTGTGCTGTTCTTATATGGTCATATGTCTGCCAGTGTCTGTCAGTCCATCACGTCACTGACCTGAGCATGATTTTTATGATTTATCACAGAATATTGCACTTCTTCATTCAGTCCTTCAGTTGCAGATGAGTCTGCAAAGATAAACAAAGGATGGTCAGTATGGTGCTGATTCTGATCTGAATTTAATCAGTTAATAAGAGAGACTGACAGACACTGACTAATACACCATGAATAATAGAAATCAAATACGAAGTGCATCATAATGCAAATGTGGAGAGATATTTTGAATGACACAGATACATGACTGGCAACAAAGAAAGTAAAAGAAAAAATGAAGAATCAAATTTAAGTCCTGCATTATGAAAACGTAATTAAAAGTACTCCCTAACTATATGTGTGTCTCTTATTTCTGGGCAAAGAAATGCTCCTGTAATAGTTACATAAGCTCTAACACAATTTTTTTTTCAAAGAGTCCATGAGAAGACAAATACCTGCCTTCTCTGTGATGATGCAATTCATTTTGCAATTTTCTTCTTCGCAGGCACATAATCATTACTATAATCGCCACGATAAAAGTCATACTGCAAACTACAGCAGTAACAATGTCCCTTTTACGATCATTGGATTGTTCTGGAAAAGAAGAAAAAAAACAACTTTCCACATACAATAAATATTCTGATTTTTGCACTTCAGAGAGTAATATTATTATCTTTTATCATTTTATTAACCATGTCTTCACTTTGTTTTACTTCTTTTACTCTTTCAGTGTATCTATATTTTAAAACAATTCAGTGCTTTAACTAACAAGACCCCACTACCCTTTAGGCCTGATCAAAGCATCACCACAGTAAAACATCAATTCTTATATTTTGTTTATTTAACTAACAAAGTGTTATTTAATTATTTAGTTATTATGGATTCCTCAAATAAAAACAGAAAGTTGGAGGAAAATCAGAGGTGTGGGGACCAAGGAAAAAAATACAATCAAAGTCAAAATGTGGGTCAAAACTGCCATTTATCCAAAGGTTAAAACAATAAATGGAGTCTGTTGACAATATAACATTTAAAACTTTTTTAAAAACCATACAAGAAATAGCTAAAACATAGAATCGAGATGTTTATTTCCATACCAGGGCTATATTGGCAGAGTTTCTTAATGTTGACTGTGGTCGTCTGGTTGCTGACTGGGTTGGTAGCCACACAGCTGTAGGTGTCATTGTCAAACTTATCTATTTCCAGATAGAGATTCAGTGTGTCATTTAGACTGGAGCTGTTGATGTGGTTCAGTATGACAATGTCTTTAAACCAAGAGAGTTTCAGTCCCCTCACATTTCTTACTGAGCACTGCAATGAACAGACTTTACTCTCTGAAGAATTGTAGGTTGTATTTGTCACCTGAGGTGCAGAAACTTTATCTGGGAAAATAAATTAAAATAAGTAAATAAATACATACTTGACATTCTTTAACAAAAAGAGAAACTGCATGCTTATTTTCTTAACTATTTTATATTATATCAGTATAAAAAGTTTAAGTATAAAAAAGAACTTACCGTACACGTTCAGCTGATAGGCTTGTTGTCTCTTCTCCTCTTTAGTGCTCTCTACAGTATAAACACCTGAATCATCTGTTCTCAGGTCTGAGAGAGTGAAGAACCCACTCTGACTGTCCCAGTGGAGACGATTCTTAAACTCCTCAGTAATGTCTGTCTCAGTCTGTTTATTCAACACCTGTCCAATGGTTCTGCCTACATACATTATAGTGCCAGATGCAGGAACCCGAGTAGGGAATGTAATAGACTCTCCTACAGCTCTATTCAGTACCTCCTGAGCTGAAGTGCTGGATACTGACACAGAGAAGAAGATTTCTAGAAAGAAAAAATATTACAGATAATGGGTTTCATTTATTGTTTCAAAAAACCGTTTTGAAATAATTAATAATGTTATAGTATTTTCATGGGTGTGCCAATAAAAAAGGTGTAAAGCACTCAAAAAGACTAACCCCCCTCCCCAGCTAACAACTCAGTGATACGGATTAATAAGCTGTCTGACAAATTCAAAATGTCCGACTGCATATGTGCTGCATGGTGTAGAGCACAATTGCATATTTGGAATAGCTCACAGTTGCATGACACCTGTCACTTTAACCTGACCTCCCAAACTATGCCTTAATGTCTTCCAATCATCCAGAGCTTGTAAAAGTGAAGATGTGCAGTGAGAATGGAGCTTAAAAGTGCACTAGCCAAGTCTTGTTTCTGTAGTGACTTATAATGCAGCATGATACTTTTTTCAAATTCAGCAAAATGATATACTTGAGGGATTTTTCCTTTTTCTCCTGTGTACAACACACCACTATTGCATGCACCAAATGCAAAAGAGTCATCATGCTGACCACAAATCATCATCGCTTGTATTGCTATCTACTATTCTACTATTAAAAAAACTTTTAAAAATACTGCACCATGTTTTTATGTCACTACCAAAACAAAGACTATATATATATATATATATATATAAAATAACCAGATTTGACATGGTCATGAGATGTTGGCTCCTGAAAGTTATCATGATAAATTACAGTGGCTATAAAATGTGTCCCACTTTATCTAGCATATTCTGCAGAAGTGGAACAGCACGTAAAACCAATTTTGTCATATAATTGAAAATAATATTGATAATATTGACAATACATAAACATATTGTGAAATTAACAATAAAACTCACCAAACAGAAAGACAATATTCCACTGAAGCTTTAATATGCATTCCAGTTTCAGTGGTAATGAAAATTGGTACATTATGATAAATACTAGAACTGAGCAACAGCAAGGATGGCACAGGGTACACAGTGACAAGATTTTGCAAAGCATGACTAAAACCAGGCACTTTTACTGTGGTATCATGAGCTCATCACACACATTGTTTTTCCACTCAGGTCAATGAAAACTGACACATAGCCTGCCCTATATTATGCTAGCCATGGAAAGAAATATCAGTTGAGCCGCACAGATACTGAACCACTCTGATATAAATATTTAGCCCTGTAATTCTGCTTCATGATTGACCTGATCTGATCATTTCAGGTACTATCATGCTCAGACAGCTATGATGTCTTTTAGTCTCCATGCCTGGTTCTAATACTTTAATGAGTACATTCAGTCTTGCAGGCATGTAGTGTTCTTGTGGTTAACCAGCCAAAACACCTCCACAATGCTGCACTCTCACACTGAGTTTCTATTTCTTGCACAAGTGCTTGTATATGTCGGTATATGTTCTTTCATATTGTTTATTTACCTCCAATATACTATAACATGCATTTCACAGTTTTTAAAAACTACACAGTAGTTGCTGTAAATATAACATTAATGATAAATTATTAATTATTTATTCTTAATTTTTTTTTATTATTTTGAAGTTCAGTCCTTCGTTGACAAAAAGTCCTTTTTATATTACTGTTACCTTAATTTTATTACTTTACTTGTACAATTTGTTAATTAAAAGCAAAAACTGTAAATATAAATGTTTTTTTTTAAATGGTTAAACTGTAAATATAAATGGTTTTCAGTTTAAATGGTATGTGCTGAAGTGCCACAGCACTGGAGGCACTGATCAGTCAAGTCACAGAACAGAATTACCAGTAAGAAGCATTTGCTACTACTATAACCATGATTTATTAAAATAAGATACTTGAAACAGTAGCTTAACCACAGAATTTTAAACCTTGGCCGAAGGTCACTAACATTAGCCTTGGTTGGGATGGTGTTTGCTCGCATTTGCTTTCATTTCTGTAAACAGAACTCCTGAAAACCTTTTCAAGACAGGACGTCCTAAACTTAGCATCAAACTTTTTTCAATCCAGCAACTGTATCTTCCTCAGAAAAACGTATTATTGTAACACTGATTAAAGTGGTACACAAAAGTGCAGGTAGCCAAGGGGTGCGTCTCATGTCTTTGATTGCTGGTCTCTGACGATATGCCTGGTCTGTAATCCAGGAACGTAATCCTTCTGATTCGCCTGAATGTCGTGGGTGGCCTAAACACTCAGTCTGACTTTATGTGGACACAAAGTAGGCTGTTTGGACATACTTTGGCTGGATTCCATTCATCCTTTTTTTACTTGAATGCCTAGTGTGACCAGATGAGACACATCATTCTGCTTTTTTCTGCCACGCCAGTACTTATCAGAAACAGAAAGAACAGGGAGTACATGTGAGATAATGTGAATATATCCAATCTGTAGTATGTAAAAGAGTGACAGTTTCTGGAGCAAAGTGTACAGTTTATTAAATTAGCTCTTCTTAACATTAGATCTCTCACAGAGAAGTCTTATTTGAGTAATAATTTTATTGTACCCCACAGCCTTGACTTTATGCTTTTAACACAAGGTTAAATAAAAGTCATGCTGAAACCATATTAATCAAGTTGGCTCCACCTAACTTTAATTTTATAAATGTCTTGTGTGCCGGCAAGAAAGTTAGAGGTGTAGCTGCTCTATTTGAGGATTATTTCCAATGCAACCAATTATCATTCACATCCTTTGAGTACCTTTGTAATATTAATAGTACTATACAGGCCTCTGAAGTTCAATGTTAATTGTATTGATGAATTTACAGATATGTTATCTTTTATTTTCACTGATGTTGATCTTTTTTTTATTGCTGTTGATTTTAACATACATATTGACAATCCCAGTGACATTTCTAATTTATGCCTAGGAACTCTGTGCTATATTGGACTCTTTTGAACTCTCACACTGTCATGGTCACACTCTGGATGGGATTATCTCAAAGGGTCTCAACATATCAGCCACTGTGAAGGATGTCACTTTGTCAGATCATTATTGTGTAAGACAGGCTACGTGATTACAACACAGTAATGTGCAAAGTGAGACAATCCTTTTTCTCCAGCATTATCAACAATATTAACAACAGCAGAGTACTCTTCGGCATAGTTGACAAACTAAGTCACCTACATATATCACTCCTGAATTAGTATCAACTGAGAAATGTAATGAGTTTGCACACTTTCTTTCACACTAAAATCCATAAAATCAGACAAGCCATTTTCACATTTGTATCCACCAAAGAACCAGTGTCCTCTCCATCACACCCATATTCTGGTTAAAATATTCCAGTTTAGTGCTATCAATAATGAAATTTTAATCATTACAATGAGTCATCTCAAATCAACCACTAAAGAACATGCTTCATTTAATAGCAGCACATATACTTCAGATAGTAAGCACTTCACTCGTGTTGGCCATTTATCCTAACAAATGAAAAACTGCACTTGTGAAGCCTCTCTTAAAAGAGAAAAATCTAGAAGCAGCTTTATTGAATAATTACAGACCAAATGCAAATCTGCTTTTAACTTAAAAAAAAGTTACTGAGAAAATTGTTTTCAAACAACTTACTGGCTTTCTGTCATTAAACTGCTGTCTAGACAGATTTCAGTCAGGTTTTTGGCCTAATTGTAGTACTGACAGGCTCTAATTAGAGTTATTAATGACATGCATTTAAATACAGACTCTGGAAAAACATCTGTTCTACTACTGCTCAATCTCAGTGCTGCCTTGATACCATTGACCAAAAAATTCTAACAGATAGATTTGAGAACTGGGTTGGAACTGTCCTAAAATGGTTCAGTGCATATCTGCAAGGAAGGGACTACTTTGTCAAAGTAGAAAATAATGTTTCTGAGAGAGAGCCAGTGACCTGTGGTGTCCCCCAGGGTTCAATTCTTGGGCCACTCTTATTTAATTCATACATGCTGCCTCTTGGCCAAATACTACAAGACTATGATATATCTGACCACAGCTATGCAGATGATACTCAGATTTACTTGGCCCTCTCTCCAAACAACTATAATCCTCTTGACTCACTGTTCGTGCCTTGAGCACATCAGTAACTGGATGGGATAACACCTTCTAGTTGAAAAAAGATAAATCAGTGATTCATTTATTAGGATTAGCAATGACAGCTACAGACTAGCTGCCTATCTGGACTCGAGAGGTCTAAAATCTAAAGAACTACTACGTCACCTTGGTGTACTAATAGACTCTGATCTCAGTTTAAGCAGTCATATCAAAGCAGTTACTAAATCAGCAGAGAAACTGATCCACGCATTTATTTCCATCTGGATTGATCACTGTAATGGTCTGCTAACTGGACTCACAATAAAGACAATCAAACAGCTTCAGATGATTCAAAATGCAGCTGCTAGAATCTCACTAGGAGTAAAAGGAAACACATCACCCCCATTATTAAATCCTTAAACTGAATACCAGTCTATTACAGAATAGACTTTAAGGTGCTGTTACTGCTCTATAAATCACTTAACTGTGTAGGACCAGTATATTTATCTGATCATTAGGAACTAGTCAGTTAGTCCTGATGAAGATAAAGACTAAACATGGAGAAGCAGAATTCAGCTCTTAAATGGAGCCAGTTGACAGAGAGCATTAGAAGCGCCCCGACAATACACACTTTTAAATCGAAGCTAAAAAAAAAAAACTATTTGAGCAGCTTTCGACTTTTTACATGACTTTGTATTTTCTCATTTGTAAAGCACTTTGAATGATAGCAGTGGATGAAAGGTGCTATATAAATAAACTGCCTAAAAAAAAAAGACATTCGTGTCAATTGCTTTTTACCACATGAAGTATTTTTGTTATTTATTGGTTCTGTAGATTGTCACACAACCTTACAGCTCACTGTTAGACTTATACAGCTATAATATGGAATGTTATGTTTAAGCAATAGAACACGAGAGGGAGTGTGTTATCACAAAATAACATCACGGCTGTGATTTGGTCGCAGACATAAGCCAAAGCCATGATGTTATTCGTGATAACACACGACCTGAACCAATTGAACCAAATACCATTTGCCAAACATGTAGTCTCATCTTCAGAGTCTGACCAAATCGGACTGAGCCATAAAACTGCCACAATATCAAGTTTAGCTCAGTGTTGTCTTTTTTTGCTAGATCAATATTAATGTTGTTTTGTTCCAGCCAGTCCGTAAAGTATCCTACAGCCCCTTTTGTTTGGTGAATGATACTCAGTTCATTTCTGGCTAATTCCAGGTCGTTTAGGTGCTCTTCTGTCGCAGCTGCTGATTGAAAAGCTGCTCAGCGGTGATGACAGTTTGGGCGTTTAGTGTAGTCTCATCTTCAGAGTCTGACCAAATCGGCTGTGGGTCAAATGTGATCCTAAAAGTATCCATTTTCTGTTTGTGTGCAAAGTAAGAAGTGAAAACGTTCAAATAGCTTGAGTGTCTCCTACAGCTGTCAAAGTCTTTGATTAGCAACGGCGTCTCAGTGGAGTGATACAGTGTTCTGAAAAAACCTGATGTTATGGTGAAATATCAGCACAGTTACAACGCTTCTCAACCAATCAGCTTGAGTGGCCGGAACTAACTGTTGTACAATTTTTTTTTTTCAAAAGCATACTTTTAGTTAGCAGTGTGTAGAAATGTATGAAAGTTTGTGTAAATATAGTTATTGTATATCCAAATAAATACAGAGTAAACATTTGCAGTTCTTGTAGTAATTTTACTGTGGTCATATATTGAAAATATGGTTTATGCATTATGTGGTGAAGTAACTGTCAATATCATTAATTATCTTTTTTTTCAGAAGTTGTTGCACTGTTTTTTTATATTTGATTAACTTAAGAAAATAGGAAAAATAGTAATCTTGGCATGTGAAAAAGTTTGGACAAACTACTAAGCCATGGTAACATCCCGTGTGGCAGATATCACACACATTTCTTGTTTTAGGAATTTTCACCCAGTCCTCCTTCCAGAACATACTCAGGCTTATTATTCAGTAACTACAGGGACTTCAATGCAAACTGGCTAAGTTACTCTTAGGTTATAGAACTGTGTAAGAAAACTTTGGGCCATTTAAGCGGGTAAAATCTACCCACATATTTTCAAAAATGTTCAAGTCAAGGGACGGTGAGGGCCACTCCAGAAGCGTCAAATAGTTAAGTTATGCCGCCCAACCCCAAAGCCCTGTCTTATGGATTAGCGAGTTTGGGCTGTCTTTTAGTTTTGGCTGCCTTGTTATACTGTGTGTGTCCCTCTTGTTTTGAGAGGTACTGGTTTTAAACTATGTTTGGTTTTAACCAATAAAGCCCTGCACTTGGTTCCTATTGTTTTTCAGTCTCTTGCCTACTGCTTTGTCTATTAGCTTCATTTTCAACTTCTGGGTCACACGTGTCCTGTATTTTAACTCTTTCTGTGGTTTATCTGGAGTTGCTACAGCAGCTAAACCCTATTCTGTCCTGTTACTAGAGTAGACAGGTGATTCACACATGAAAAAAGACGGCGTAAACAAGAGATCCTGAATTATTTATTGGTAGGAACAGTTGCTGACAGCTTTTTCTTTGTCCTTGTTGGTCAGAAATGCACATTAGTCCAAAACCAAAGCCAAAGTGTTAATTATGACATTTTGGTCTGTTATTAGCAGGGGCCTAAAGACTGCACTGTAAGCATGACCACTGTTTAGTATCATAACTCAGATGGTGCGGGAGAAGGTCAGGTGCGTGCCCTACAAGCTGCCTGAACCATAAACAAACATTTACCATCATTTATATTTACAAAACAAGCATGGTCAATATTGGTGGATGTTCCGGACTTTCCAGTTTAGTCAAGGGAAAAACATACTTAAGCCTATGAATATGAATAAAGACAAAAAATATGTGAGTCTGATTATCAACAGGAAGCTGGACTTCCGTATCCTACGTTGTATTTTCTTCATGTCATTGTATCTTTTAATGCTGTTACTTATTTCTGTTTTTTTTTTTATCTCTGTCTCACACCTCTGCCCTCAGAGACGATGACAGAGATTAAACTTGTTGACCATGAACAGGATATCCTGCTCAAGCCAACCACTTGCAAAGCACACATTTGAGCGAGGTGCGAATTAAAAATAAAACCCTGCATGCATCGGCTCATTGTTGTCTGAGAAATGAGTAAGACCATTACAGTACCTCTGAGTTTACACAAATATAATTTAGTTATTAAATAGCTCAAGTTAATATACATTTGTGGATTGAAAGTTACTAAAGTGTACTAACAGTCCCCCCTCTGGTCACTGAGATGGTACACTCAAGGTTACCTCTTCAGTAACTTTAGTTAGGAAACTTAATTGTACCGTATTTCATTGTAATTATGTATTTACATTTTAAGTTGTATTGACTCCACACATCATGTTTTGTCTCAAGATATTTTATTTTATTGTTCTATTTTAAAACATTAGGTTATGAAAAGGTACAAATATGTGCAAACCCAACTGAAAAATGTTGGTATAATATGTAAAATGCTAATAAAATCAAAAAGCAGTAATTAGTAATTAGTCAATTCAATTCCTTTTGAACTGTATTAGATTTTAAACAGTACAGAAATACAGTATTTTATGTTTTACCTTACAAACTTAGGTTTTTTTTTTTGCAAATATATGCAAATTCCAACTATGGTGCCTGCAACACATTCCAAAAAAGTTGGCACAGGAGTGATATTTGAGTATTGATAAAACTAATAAAATTTTGAAAGCAATTTTTTTACCTTTCTTCAATTATACAAGATTTCAGCTGGACAACCGTACGGGGCCTTCACTGTCATATTTTGCAATTCATAGTGTGCCACATTTCAATAGGAAATGGACCATATGTTACTTCAAAATGTGTACATACTTTTCAGTGGTAAAGGTGCACAGATTCACAGATCCACCCCATACTATGACAGACCCCGGCTTCTGAACTTTATGCTGGTAGCAATCTGGATGGTCCTTTTCTTATTTGGGCCAGCAAATGTGACGTCCATTATTTCCATAAACAATCCTAAAGGTGGACTTGTCATGCTACCACTGTTGCCATTGTGCATCAGTCCATTTCAGAAGAGTTTAAGTCCAGAGAAGTTGGTGCCGTTTCTGGACATTGCTGCATAGTACAGTCTTAACTTGCCTTTGTGGGTGCAGCAATGAAGCATTAATTGACAATGATTTGTCAAAGTATTCCCAAACAAATGCAGTGATATCCGTCACAAAAGCATGATGGTTTTCAATTCAGTGTTCTCTGAGGGTTCAAAGGTCACAGGCACTAAGCTGTGGTTTTTGGCCTTGCTTTTTACACGCAAAGATTTTCTGGGTTCTTTTTTGGTGATATTATGCACCATACAAGGTGAAATACCTAAAAACCTTCCAAATGCTCATTAAGGAACACTGGGCCGTATTCACCAACCAATCTTAAGAAAAATTTCACAAAGTTTCCACAAAACTTCCGTCATTCACCAACGCTTTCTTATCTGACATTTGTTCCTTTCCTGGATGTTTTCCGTACTGTCTTTGTACTATTTTCACTAAAACACAGGTCACCATGTATTTACACATCACAACTTTCTGTTTATATTTATATTTTACATACTCTCCCAACTTTTTTTGGAATTAAGTTTGTACCTTTTCCTTGTGAAAAAGGCACACAATTGGACCTTAAAACTATTTTTATACTTCTTAGGGTACATTTACTTTGTTTGTACCTTGACAAACTAAAAATGTATCTGCACTGTAACTTTTTGTTCTCACAGTGGACAGTCATATGCAAAAGTTTGAAAACCCCAAGTCAGATTACGTTTTGTTGATTTTCTAAGTGAAAATAAGTGAACACATCTGCTACGGGGAACAAATATGGCATAAATCATAAAAATAAAGTATAAAATATCAAATGTGTGTCAAAAGATATAAACAAGGACACATAAAAAAGCCAGTATTAAGCAAATAGACTTGTCCTACAAAGCAAACAGAGAAAACACAGCTGACTAAACTGGCTCATCTTCTTTGCACAAGAAATTTGCAAATCAAATAATATGCCAAGGCAAGGCCAACGACAATCCACCAAACAGCTAAAAACCAGCTCTGAACATAAAGCATAAAACATATCTGGGCTTTTGTGTGTTTTTTTTCAAGTCATATATGCTGAGCTAGCCAATGGAAAAGAATGAGCTCTACAAACTTGGTCTATTTGTAAGTCTTTTTTTTGTCTGTGCTCTTTATTCTACATAAAAAAGAAAAACTAACACAGTCATGACTTACAGAGAACATAATTTAAAGATGTGTTTACAAGATCACTTGGTCAGACATCTTGCTTTTGTAAAGTCTACCATCGTGACCATTACATAGATAAAGAGAGGAAACATTTACTAATATTTAAGATAAACAAGCTGTATATTGGAAAGCTTACCTGACAAACAGTAGAAGAGCAGAGTCCATCGCTTATGTAGAAAACATGTCTTCATTTTTGTTTAGTTATAATGGTGACTTCATTTTGTCAAACTGTGGAACAAAGAGAACAGCAGCATCTCTTTTTCTCTAGGAAGCGTCATTTCAGTGGGTGGAGACTAAAGGGGGGAAGAGAGCAAACACCACCCAACATGTAAACATTTGTCCAAAATGTGTGTATGTATATATAAAATATGCAGAATCCAGTGATTCCACTGTGCACATCTATCATATCTGTTTTCTTACAAAGTACCAGGCACAGTAAAAGTCTTTCTGTATTCCTTCTCCATCCATCTCTAATGAATGCATCGCTGTGGCCTGTGATTCCCTTATAAAGTGCAAAAAAAACCACACCTGTTCTGAGTGGGGAGGGCCATGGATGGTGTTCTGTTTCTGTCCTAGTATTGGACTAGTGCTTGTTTGTTGGTACGAAGAGATGAGAGAGAAACAGGGCCTGCAGACATGGAGCTACATCTAATGGTTAGACAGAACCATCTGCTGGATTTCCCCTGCTTTTCCAGATGACTCCAAGCTTACAGTAAACTACCATGATATACAGGAAGTCTGGCTTTAGAAGCCATTTAGGCCACCCAGCTGGGACTTCATTAACGTCAGTCACACCCTCTGATGTGTGTTTGCCAAACAAACCTCACCAGACATTATATGTGCCTCTGAGGGATTTATCTCCTAGGCAACATATTGCCATGTACAGGGGCTGAAGTGCAAATGGAAGCAGCAGATACTATAGTCGGGTTGTTTTAACATCAACAGGCCACATGAGTTTAGATACATACATTCATACATTCTCCATCCTGCTCTTTGCTTAGTTGGAACGGAAGATGCTAATTTGCTGTGGTGAACGGCGAAACAATTCAAACACAGGAAGAACCCACAACACACACCCAAACATATCCTTTCGCAAAAACATCCGAAATCCAGCTCTCTGAGGCCTGGATGTCAAAGGCTTTTGTTGTAAACAGATAAAGAAAGGAAGCGGGGTGGGGGAGGGGGCGGTTGTTCATTCACGCTGAAGGCAACAGCCCCCTCTACAGTTTACTCATTTATTTTAATCTTAATTCTTTAATATTTTATATTTACAAATTGCTTCTTTAATGTTATTATTCTTTGTCTGTATGTATAATAAAGGATCCATATTGCTGCACAATTACTAAAACAACCTCTCTCTTTCCCAAGGTGCTCAAATATCTAGCCTCAAGCAATGCTTGACAAGACAGAGTACTATAAACATTATACTGGAGCCAGGAGGTGAAAGCCTGTGGTTTCTAGATGTTCTCTGATCTGAAAGTTTCAAAAATGAGATGTGATAAATAGAGAATAAAGGTATGAAACTGTGACTGGGGTGATAACGTCAAGGGTACATCTCATCTCATCCCTTTAGTCGGGGAACATAATTGTACCATAATCCACTGAAATGATCTTTTCTAAGTTGTATTGACTCCACACACCCCGTCTCGTCTCCAGGCTTTTATTTTATTGTTCTGTTTTGAAACATTAGGATATGAAATGGTACAAATACGTACTTTTCATGTGGGACACAGTTGGACCTTAAAACCACTGTTGCACCTTTGAGGTACGTTTACAGTGTTTGTACCTTGATGAACAAAAAATGTACCTGCACAGAACATTTATTTCTAACAATGTATCTCTAGCTTAGCGCCTGTGACTCTTTGTCAGTGCACTCAGCACACACTGAACAAACAGAAGATAATGAACAACAGAAAGGCATTCTTCCATTACTAAGCCCACAAGCCATTAGGTCATAAAACCACCAGTTCGCTTGGCAACCTGATTCTGGTCTGTGGGAGACAAAAAAAAGATAGAGGGGGGGTAAAGATGATCTGACGCTTTCAGCTTTCATGCATGCAAGTACTCTGGAATCCCCCTTTAGCAAAATCTCTGAGTGTCAGAAATATTGTTTATGCTGTATTCTTTAACATATTTGAAATAATCTACTTTAATCCGCTTTGCGTCTTGCCTAATAATAGCCTTGCCCATGATAAAATCACGGTAATGCATGGCCTCAAGTGGCTTATTGCTTTTATAAAACAGCAACCAACATGAAATATGATCAAATACACCATTTTGCTGAAACTATTTTTAGTTGTTGATAATAATTGACAAACAAGTATTCTGCCAAGAAATGTAGTTCATGTAGTTCAAAACTCAATTCTTAAACCATTTACCTTACCTTAAAATTTAAACTCATTTCCTTATATCATTGAAGTTCAGGGTAGAATAACTTTTAATTTGTAACATTTACCAAAGGAGATAATCACAGTCAGTCACAGCCTTTTGCTCATTTGCAGAAAACATGTTATGATTAACACAACATTGATCTATTTTCAAATGTACAATTGTATCCAGAGACAACAAGCTAGGAACCAAGATAAAACAACTTTGAGCTAATAGGAAGTAAATGTACTTAACAGCTAACCTGGGTACTTTAGAGATCACATACCACCAAAACTTAATGCAAAAAAAAGCACCTGGTTCACTCTCTTCAACATCTACACTTCTGTTTATTTTCTTAAGCAGATCAGGGCTGTCCAAAGTTAGACCATTAGGACTTTTAATTTGGCCCAACAGAAAAAGAAAACAAACTTTTTTATATACTGTGTATAACTTTCAAAATTATTTTCTCCAGGTATTTGAAAAACACAAACAATAATAAACAGATGTATTTGAGTAGTAATATAAAGACCTATATTGTTTGACCACGTAAAATTACATGATAAACAGATTTTTGTTTAAATGGTAACTTCATACTTTGACTTTAATATATTAAGACATGGCCTCCAGTGATGCTTTGTAAAATAATGCTGTACAGCTGTCTCATGTATTTCAAGAGTTTGCAGTTTTCTATTCTGTGTCTAGATTAAAACAAACAAACAAACAAACATACAAAAACAAAACAGCACAGTTTATTCAGTACAGAGAGGCACGAACCAGAAAAAAATGATCTATGGGAGGACAAACAAAAGACTGGCGGGAGTTTCAAACCAGTCAGAGCGCGGGACTCCGCCTCTTGGACGTTCAGTTTTGAAGCGCGAGCGCTCTCCGCCATTCTTCCTTTTAAAGCCAAGCGCGACCGTTACAGCCGTTTACAGTAAGCAAGTCTCTCAGGGCGCTAACGCGGGCAGTTTTATCGAGTTGGTTTAGCGAGTGTTAAACCTGGTCCAGACAGTCTCTTACATTCCTTACTAAGACAGCGCCGCCTGCCGGGTGACGTTTTCAGCTCCCAAAAACGAGGAGTTTTCAGCTGCGTAGTTAGCTAACTAGCTGACTGGATCGAGTGGAGTGGCGACTGGAGTTACGACTACAACGGTCAGAATCTGCTTTTAAAAGGTGAGCAGTGACAAAATGAGATAAGCAGCCTCACTAACGGTCAGCTGGAGTAAACTTTTCTATATTTCTAGGTGGATCTGCCAAATGAAGACACCAGCGTTAGGTTAGCGTATGTAGTTAGCTAGCTTAGCGGCTAAGCGGCTTGTCTGTTTACGCCTCGCGGCTGCGTCAGATGTCGCTTAGCACCCTCTCCCAGCAGCGCCCTGTAACCATAGCGACCGCCCAGCTTCAGCTCTGTACAGCTGTCTCATCCCAGCAGCGCACTGTAACCATACCGCCCAGCTTCAGCTCTGTACAGCTGTCTCATCCCAGCAGCGCACTGTAAACACAGTGACCGCCCAGCTTCAGCTCTGTACAGCTGTCTCATCCCAGCAGCGCACTGTAACCATACCGCCCAGCTTCAGCTCTGTACAGCTGTCTCATCCCAGCAGCGCACTGTAACCATACCGCCCAGCTTCAGCTCTGTACAGCTGTCTCATCCCAGCAGCGCACTGTAAACACAGTGACCACCCAGCTTCAGCTCTGTACAGCGGTCTTACCCAGCAGCGCCCTGTAACCATAGCGACCGCCCAGCTTCAGCTCTGTACAGCTGTCTCATCCCAGCAGCGCCCTGTAAACATACCGCCCAGCTTCAGCTCTGTACAGCTGTCTCATCCCAGCAGCGCCCTGTAACCATAGCGACCGCCCAGCTTCAGCTCTGTACAGCTGTACAGCTGTACAGCTGTCTCATCCCAGCAGCGCACTGTAAACACAGTGACCGCCCAGCTTCAGCTCTGTACAGCTGTCTCACCCAGCAGCACCCTGTAAACATACCGCCCAGCTTCAGCTCTGTACAGCTGTTTCATCCCAGCAGCGCACTGTAACCATACCGCCCAGCTTCAGCTCTGTACAGCTGTCTCACCCAGCAGCGCACTGTAACCATACCGCCCAGCTTCAGCTCTGTACAGCTGTCTCATCCCAGCAGCGCCCTGTAACCATTTCCTTAGTTACATTTACTCTAGTAACATCTTGGTGGATTTGTACTTTCTAGAGTATTTTTAAAATGTATTATTTGTGCTTTATATTAATAATCTATGTTTTACTCAGCTACATTTATTAGTAATATATAATCACCAGTTTGTTTTGTGTTTTTCATTGTTATGCTTTGCTGTAATTGTTTTGCCGCATTTACCTCGTGTCTGTTTTGTTTTAGATGTTTCTCATCAGAAATCATTTGAAGCTGAGCAACTGGTGAGACTCAAGTTTTTTTTTTTTAGAAAAATCCATATGAATGTCAGACAGATGTTTAGATTTGGTGGGTTTTTCAAACAAATATATTTCATGAAGTATATATTGTAATACAGAAGAGCAGAATGTTTAGGTAAAGCTGTGTTACAGTATTCAAATATCTGCACTTTATTCATTCAATTTATCAATATGTTATTTGCCACTACAGCTGTGTTCAAAATATCAATATGGCAATATCACCAACACTGTATCAATATTTATGAATTTACTTCTTCACAGTGCTTTAATGTGTAATACTGCAAGTCTCAGAGCGCTACAATTTATAGCATAAAGCATGTGGTATACATGCTCTAATAGAGTTCAGCTCTTATTAATAATCTTTTCATGTAATAATTCTCTGTGAGAGAGATTAGAGGCATTGAACTCTTCAAACGTCTGGTTCTTGTCACTGCCACTGTGAAAAACTCTGACTCTAAGTTTTTCCATAATGGAACA